AATGGTTCTACGATCTATAGAACAAATTCTCTGCAAGGAATTTTCCGGTCCCTTAAATTTCATTGTAGAGAGAATGAATTGCTACAACAAATCATTTTCTGGTCCCTTGAATTTTGTTGTAGAGAGTCCACCCATATCTAAAACATAAGGCATAGTTTTTTCAACTTTTTTATGTCATCAAAGTGCATTACTTGATTATTCTCAAGTACCTGTAGTTAACTCCTGTGTACCCAGCAAATAATTTGGGAGTTGGATGCTGGGGAGCTGCCAATAGCTAGGTGCACATTTAGGTACAGTATTATCAAGTTTAAAGGCAACTTTCAGAGGAAAATCCAACTCACAAAAGACAAGGAGTTATATTGATGAGGAACAATATCCTCAACAATTTTGTTTCTGCTGTTCAGAAGATGTACTCGAATTAGTCTTCATTTTCAGTTTCACGCGGCCCACATGCATAAAAAAAAACCCCGCCAGCGACAGATATCATCAATAATCTGAGCAATTGGACTTCATCAGCTTCTAGTTCATTGAGCTGAAAATCTGTACGGTATGAAGCGTACATTATCCGAAACTGTCGTGTGTTGAAATCTCAAAGCCCTCGTGAAACAAAAATAACTTCGATCACGCCCACACGAAATTAGCGTGAAAAATGAGGGAAATAATCAGGAGGCGAGAGGTTAAAATGAAACCCATCCCAGCAGTATATTCATATGCCAATTAGATTTGGCAAAAACATAAAAAATGAGGCATCTCCATTTGATGCACGACAATACTGCTGCATATGTACCATCCCAAAGTTGACAGGAAATAATCCATGCATCAGAAGTATCCTTGACTAGATTGAAAACGCAAGTGCAGTATTGAATAAAAATTGAGGATTAACAGAATCATGTTTTTCCATGCCAAAAAAAACCAGAGATATTTTCATGAAAAATGTATCTTGGTATTTTTTAATGTTCTCAAGCCCCATTTTGTAAATTCAGATAATTAAATAAAATGCCATACAATTAATTTAAGACAAAAGAAAATCTAGATTTAAAAAATGCATACTTGCCTGAACCTAAATTTAAAACAACAAAATTTTAGCAGGCGACAAAAACTGTGCGAGTTGTCATTGTGCGAATTGTCGGGGAATCTCGTGCTAATAGTCATCGAAATTATACGTACCGTACGTTAAAAATGGACGATTTCAATACGCATAATTTCCAACTATACCCTGTTAACCGAATAACGCAGGAATTAACGCTTTATTTCACGCGCCACACATTCCGAACGACAGCATTATCGGCATTCAAAGATCGTCTCGTCACGTCGGCGGGCGGGCGGGGGATGGACGGAGGTGTACGACAGGAATTCTGCGGCATGAGAATAAGGGCCAAAAAACCGCGCAGATGACCTCCGATTCCGTTTCGCAGAACAATGCCGACAAACGAGATACGACAGCGGAGTATACATAAGCAAAAACAGGTTCTAAATGTTTGGAATTCCGAGAGTGAGGATGCAAAACTGGATGACGGAAAAAAAAATTTTTTTTGAGGAAATAAAATGGATACAGAAAGGAGATGAAATCACGCGTGAAATTTCTGCGTCAACTCGTATCCTCGTCCGAATCACAGCAACAAGGCGGCGTTGTGTTTTGGATTCAGGAGATTTCTGCGGAGTATATTCTAGCAGAATTTTTTCCATAGCTTATTATATATATTTTAAAGGAGTAAATCTGGGAGGATGCAAACACGCTTACGACGCATTTTAAAGTGTACAATGATTATCAGCGCGATTTCCCCCCCTCAAAGATAGAAATATTTCATGAAAAATACTGCACATGCTCAACAATACACATGCAAAGTCATTTAATTGTCCAAAAATAAAATTTTAAACAAGTGGAGAATACGATAAGATTGGCCAAAATTCAAGTGAGGAAAATTGTTCAGTATGTCACCGGCTTCTAAACTAGGAAAATTTAAAAGAAGATACCGCTGAAAATATTGTAACTTCACAAAAGCCTGCAAGTGACCAAAAAAATAAATCAGAGTTCTTTGGCAGTTGGCACCAGTAATTTATAACTCCGAGAAAATTTTGATAACATGCTACGGCGGGTTAGAATTGAGCCATTTTTAAAGATAATTTCTGTTTGAAAAATATGATAATGTATTACTTTAATTCGATTAACTCGCATATAAGATGTGGCGGTGCTTTTATTGGCCTTCACCCGCAAATAATTTCGGCATATAAGTCGCAACACAGTGAATTAGGACATTTATAAAACGATCGTGAATAATCAGCTAATGTATTTCAACGAATGCATGCCGTTTAGTTGATCTTCAGAATTAAAGCGTTGATATTATCAGAACAAATTTATCGGCTCCTCGTCGTTCCACGAGAACAAACCGTGTTCGAAAAATTTACAAATGCAAAGTATTCCTGATAACTTTCAAGAATGGTGCACTTTTCGTCACCAGAAACTGTCGCAATTCATTCCTTTTATTCAATATTCCATCCAAGACTAGGAAACGTCCACATCACAGTTTCTTTTCGGTTCCAGGTAGCACATCCAGATTATTCACCTCTCAAATAAACAAACGGTCAAGATGTAGAAGCTGATGAATATTAATAAAGAGCCCAAAAATAAAATGCGTATTACGGCGTATAGGTTATACAAGGGCAGGTGTTTAAATCATTTCGATTTAGCAACTGGAAATTTCCACTGGAATCGGAAAGGACAGATTTCATTCAATAGCATTCACGCGTCCCTGCATCTATATAAGGAAAAAAGTAATTAAAAATTGTTCCGGAATAAAAAGAATCATAATCACATAAGGATTATATGAATTATTTACCTCGTTCATAATTTTAGGACTTGACGAAAAATGAGAATGTAAAAATGTTGGAGTTGACAGCGTTTACTGAACGTTAATGTCAGCATAGATTCGCTTGCTGATTCAGCACCGCTGGTCAAACATTACATCTCAAATCACATTTTCCAGGGATATATTTGGTTGATCAAGAAATTTTTCGGAAGTGGACACAAAATCAATCAATAAAAAGTCGCAATTGACACGGCACTACTGAAATCTTCCCGATTACAAACAGATCATATGAGTCGCCACACCCATTCTTTTATTCCCTCATCAATGCTTTGTGTCTTTCTCGCAGAGCAATAAATCAACGTTGTCGGCATGTTCCCTAAAACTTGCAAAACTTGAAGCATATCTCTTTTAAACCGAATCTAAATCATTTCTTTTTCATATCGAAGTTCATTTGTGGTGTGAATTTTTTTACTCATTCCAATAGTCAGTTGGGATGATTATTAAAACTGATGAAAGCAATGGATGGAGTTGAAGTTAACTAAGTTTCAACTACTTGGTATTTAGTCATTGGCAACTCCTCTGCGTCTAAGGGTTGGATAGGAATGGTCTCGCCAACTTGATAGTTCAATATACCAACATGCAAAACTCCCCAGCACACAACTCCCAAATTATTTGCTGGGGCATCAGTGCCCTACTTTCAAAAGTTAAAACGAAATTCAATTGTTTCATTAAGATCAAAACACATTCTTAAAAACTGGAACAAAAATAGTTTCAAAAATCCAAATCGATGCAGCATGAATTACTCGAAAGAAGAATGTGGACAAAAAAAAACACGGATCGACAACATATATTCAACATTCAAGGCTACCCATTTAACAAATGCCCAACATTATCCCCTACCTCCTCACCATCGTTTGCGCAAGTATAGTTCTTGTGCAGCTCGCAATCCAAGCATTTATTCCCAGACTCGGACTCGAAAAAAAAACTAACATTTCTATCTTGATTGTCCTGCTTTGAATGCCACGCACGCTACTGAAAAGAATATTTCGTGTGTGATATAGCAGCAAAATAAAGGGCTACTATTCCGCCAGTGGGTGTTGGTAAAATGGGTTAATCACATTAATCCAACAGAGGCAAGGTCACGACAGATTTTCCCGAGCAATTATTATTGCCCAGACAGCGACTGCTACCGTCGCTTCGATTGCAGTTCGCTCATTACATGCAAGCTCACAAGCTGCCATCCAATCACAATATTTCGGAATGAAAACAAGCATAATCAATGAAAATTATCCATTACATGAATCTATAGAAGAAAAATAGCGAAGTACCAACCACCCACTGGTCTCATTTATAGAAACTAGAATAAACGTCATATTAACTATCGAAACGCTACGTATATAAATTAAATACGTACAGTATTCCGCATAGGATCTCATGATTCGTTGATTTTGGTCAATAAAGATGGATATCGGAGCTTCAAAAATATTTCAATTTACTGCGACTGAAAAAATCGTCTTCGTGGTTGAGACTCAGATTCGTTAAAACAAGTTTTAATTTTGATCCTGTAATCCGTGCGCTGCTGAATGTGAAAGTCATCAAAATAACCTTTACCGACTATATAAGAATCGGTGAGCATAGAACGCAGTTGAAAAAAATCATCAGTTTCAAGGGTTTAATACAATTCTTGTCCTCAATCCTAGACGCATGGTTCAGAGGATCCAAACTAAGGAATCGTTCTAACTAAACTTCATTACGATATAAACCGACTAATATTCTAAAGCAATCCGCGCATTTCGTGCGGAATAAAGAAAATAGCTTACGAAATTATGATCAGACAGGTTTCAGACACTGAGTTCGACCGAAAGAAATCGTTTCGTACGCGATTTCAATCATATCAGTTCAGATTTTCCGCGGCGATCGCGATATTAAAAGATCAATGATAAAAATAATCCATTTCAGCGCACAGTCCTCGGAAAATATTTTGAAACATCTGGATGCATATTGACAACGCCAATTGTTTTCGAAGCTTGATGGGAATTCCAAAGCCAACTACTTCATGCCAGTTCAGATTTTTTCGTGGGATCCGCAAAGGCAGAACGAGAGGCTAGTCTTCTCCAAACTCGTGCGACGAGCTCAGAAGTATCCTCACAAAATGTACATGTTAAAACTCAAGCTAATCAATCAATCACACGAATAATGTACTGCAAGCTTTGAAAAATCCTCGCAAAGCAGGTTCAAACACAAGCCCAGTGAAGGTACGAAGGGATCCAATTCCGAATTCAGAGTTTCAATAGCTCTGGACGCGTGCGAGGAAATCAGCACGTCATTACGCTGTATCTAACATCTTAGCCCTTTTAAAGGTAAACCCCTTTTTAATATAGCCCCTCTCAGCTAACCCCTGAGAGCCACTACCACCTACCCGTCCCACCGATTAACCCATCAAACCGGACACACACACACACCGCTACGGGTTTCCGTTGACTGATATAGCCCATGCCGGACAAGGAGTTCCCGGCAAGGGCCTGTGGGCTCGCTGCTGCCTCGCACAAGCAGGCTAGGGACTCGGCTTCCTCAGCTGAGAATACTAGCAACTGCCTGACGAAGGTCAGATTTCCTTCGAATTTTAATTCATACGCGTGGGGTTTTATGAGTGATGCTATAGAAGAAGTTCCGAGTAACTTTTATTTCGCGAAAGTGTTTTCAAAACGTTTCTGTGCCGCGATATGAATGCATTCAAGTACAGTAAGAACTCCCACAGTTGGCGGAATTGTTCTTTTGCTTCTTTATTCATTATACTATACTGTGGAGTGCAGTCATATTTGAAGGAAAAGTCAACTGCGTTCGGCTGTCAGTCACGACCAAAACCCTTTTAAGACGAGCTTTTGAAATTAACGACGAAATACCGCAGAGTTGCTTGTGCACATGCTTCTACTCTGAAGTCCATGTACTGATGGTCGTTTTCCATTACTTGAACCAATTTCGTCCGTCAAATAAACCTTAAAATAAAAGAAACTAGAGTAGCAATCCATGTCAGAACTTCGATCGAACATGCCCGTAAAATGGAAGTCGGTTGAGAGGAAAATTGTTGACGAACTTGATCATCCATTCTGGAATTAAACGCAGTCAGAGCCTCATGACATGTTCAATACCCAAGTCTCTTCTTAAACAGTATACTGCATTGGAACAAACTTACGATATAATTATGCGTCAGGAACTCCACATGTGCACTTGCCACAATTGCAGTTGAACCCTTACGAAAGATTGCAAAAATAGCGACTTTCTTAGTTCTATGGTCGAATGCATAAAGACGACTACGATAATCGGTTAGATTTCTCCAAAGCAACATAAATTTAATCTCAAACCTGAATAAACTCCTTCACAGAAATCTGGGAGCAACGAAGGTCGTCACAAGGCCGGCGATGACTACGTTAACCCAAGATTCGCTATGTATCCAAGCTCTCCAGCAGCAGCTGCTGCTGCCGCAGCTGCAGGCTTGCACCATCAATCCCAACACATGCATGCACATCAATTGCATCAACAGTACTTGCAGCTTCAAACACAGATGCTCATCATGCAACACCAGATTCAGCATCAACAGGAGCAGGTACATGCAATGGGAAAAACACGCATCCTCATCAATTACCCTCCTCTCGCGCCTTTTGAAAATCTTGAACGACATTCTTCCATAGATTCATCCGCGGCGATATTACACGTCTTATCTAATTTTGAGACAGATATTTTGTATGTTCCTGAACTTAATGAGTTGAATTTTCTATGACCAAAAAACTCAGTTGAGCTAGCTCATGAATACACGTTCAAATCTATATGCTGCTTTCTACGTATTTCTTGCACCTCATCATTTCATATGCGTTCGGTCTGAAAAAATGAATTATACGAACGCAGGTATTAATGGAGGAACATATCCTTTAATTTGATAGGACAGGGTGGATAAACGAGTTTTTCAGATGCTTGAATGTTTCAGGCTCGTTTGGCGCAACAGAAGCAGGCAAGTACCAGAGAATTCGACGAAACCAATGTTTACGTGGCTCACCTTCCCGTGACTATGACCCACGAGGAGTTCTTCGAACTGATGAGCAAATTTGGGACCGTGGTGTCCAGTCGGATCTTGGTAGGTGATCACTGGCGCAAGAAGGGAGTCAAGGGTGTCGGGTTCGCAAGGTATCACCGGAACTGATTACTAACCTGAACCGTTCACGGGTTCAATGATATGTAACCTCATGCTACACACTAGGATGTCGACTGAGGAGGAAGCACTTGCTGCGATCAAAGGAGTCAACAATATGCGCTTGCCCGGCTCGAGTGTGCTTCTCAGAGCGAGGCTGGCGTTCAAAACGATTCGCAGAGATGGACATCCTGATGGGGATGACAATGACCTCATGGAGCCTGAAAGCACTGATGAAGTTGACTACCGTCCTCAGCAGCAGACACCGAGTGTGTCGGTGAACGGTGCTCGAAGGTTGGCAGCTAATGAAAGTTACATGAATTCTGCTTCTATATCGGTTAGTTAAAGAGGTTTTTTAAATTCACTGATTTCACGGAATGGCTGTGTTTTTTGTTTTTGCTTCAAATACAAAATACTTCGAGTTTTTCACTTCACCGCTACTTTTACGATTCACTAGATCTTTACGATTTTTCGTCGATCTTGAAATAATTCGCCTTCTTTAACTCAGATTATCACTGCCGTTCTGGGTTCGATATACTGTACTGTACTATGTTTAGTTAAGAATTGCGCGTGCGAATGGGTAGGAACTAGGAAGATTTATTTCAATTGCTCAAAATATAGAAGGGGTCGTTTCTTCGATCAACAATACATGCACAGTGAGGCCAACAAATAATTTCAATTTTTCAGAACAGTTGCCACCCAATGGCCGGCATATATGCAACCATTCCCTGCCGCCATCACTCCTCATCCTGGCATGGAATACATGGCGGCACCAGCCATGTATCCATCTTATTCCCTGGCCTGTCCACCATGCCCTGGGGCCAGTGTGTGTCATGCTCCTTCTGCACCACCACACCCCTACTCCATACCACCTGCATGGACCATTGATCATTCGTCTTGTGCGGCTGCTGCTGCTGCAGCTGCAGCAGCAAGTGCTCAATCCGCATCAGCTCAGTATTCTGGCAATCCCAGTGAGGATGCTAGTTCTTCTGATTATTGCTGGCTCGGTCAGCAAGCAGACTACTTGAGTACTGGATGGGCAGGGGCTAATGATGCTTACTGCAGTGCAGCAACTCCTGCGGCACCATTTTATGATCCACAACTCGCACTGAGTGCCCATGCAGCTTATGCTCAGAGTGCAGCTGTTGCCGCTGCGAGCAAAAGCAGTGGATGTCCATTGACCCTGGCAGCCGCAACTCTACTGGTGAGAGAAAGGGATTCACGCAGTGATGAAAAGATTTCAAATTAAAGTTTTCCATCTATCGTAAGGCTAAGCCTGCTGCAAATGTTACCTGGGCCGCAGGTGATGACATCAATCTCTTGCCTAGGCCGAAGAAGCCCATCTTGATCACGGCGCCAGCAACAAGCAAAGAACACGCTGAACCCGCGACTTCTGATCCGACTGCATCCAATCCCAGCACTTCAACGAAGGACGATAAATTGGCTAATTCCATAACTAGCCCATCAGACTCCTCGGACGCTGTTGAAAGGTGAGTTTTTTTTTAGTGACAACACTCGTACTAAGCGAAAAATGCACGAGTCGTACTTCAGATTGTCGGCAGGTGGAGACGGATTGACTTATCCCCAGGCACGCCCCAATAACTACAAGTACCCACCAGTGCCAGGACTTTCCTACAGTCAAAACTTCGCTTACGCATTCCAGTCCACGAATGATGCAGCAACTTTCGATGCACAGAACACCTTCATGTCTGCTCCGGCTCCCACATTTGCTTCTGCTATGATTTCGGCTTCACAGCGTCACCAAAAGCAGTGCACTACTTCGAAAACTAATCTGGAAGGCGGTGAAGAAAAACATACTCCCGACGCCACCGACAAAAAAGACACTGAACAAGTAAAACATTATAAATAAAATATTGAACACCTCCGCAAGTAATATTCAGAAGAATGGAACAAATAAATATTTATGTAGAGTAACATTTCTGTGGAATAAAATCAATTTATAACACAATTCGGAATTGTCTGAGGGCCTCTAAAAATTTTCATGCTCAATTAAGCCCATTAAACTGAGGAATTACATCGAGGTTACGATTTTTATGCATTACGGATGTCTTCATGCATAGGTTATTTTTCAAGTTATATTTCATTTATCATTTTAGTTACCAAAAGCAAGGAAATTGAAATTTGAAGTAAAATTTTGAGCGGGCTTTTGGAAAATACTTCGGTTACAAACAGCATTTCGTACAATAAGGGCAAATGTATCCTTCTCCCGCGGGATTTTGAACTGTTTATATTTGATTCAATATTACAGCTTCCTCCGAATATTCTGAACATCGCCCAGACGTGCGCTGGTATCGTCTTGCCCGAAGAATACTACGCGGAAGAAGTTCGCAAATCCCTGGAAGGTATAGTATGGGTGCATCTCGGCTGTTACCCGGCAAATCCCATCATCCTATACAAGAACCATCGTCCCATCTTCGGCATCTTCCATCCCGAATACAAAATCTACTACGGAAGCATCTTCTACGGAGACTCGGCTCCTGGACTCCCGCTCATCAGCTGCGCCGCTCCGAAAAACTACGAGCTTCCCAGCGTTCCACGACGAATTATCGGACAAGAAGTTGAACACGCGGTGGTCGAGGTGTCTCATTGACACCTAGGTTAGGATTTTACAGTTGAGTCCATTCCTAAAAGATGATTTTGACCCTTATCTTAATTTACAGATGAAGATCCTCACGGTGGAGTCGCGCGGGCGAAACAAAGCCTCCGAATATATTTACTTACTGAGCTGGCAACTTGTACCGGAAGCTGTGCAATAAGCTCGTTTCCGTTCTTTTTCCTCTTCGTTTTTGTTTCTAAATAATTCCGCTTTTTCCCTCGTTTCTGTATGTCCTCTATTTCCGTTTTCCATGTGCGCTTTTATTCCAATAATTTCATCAATTGCTTTTTTCGTGAAAAATAAAATTCTGAACAAGCTCCATTGGCGAGGATTCACTAAACGGTCAATCGAAGAAAATTCATAAACCCAATTCAAATCATCGTTGAAAGTCTAAGTCCGTCTTTTTTAAACAGAAGTCGGGCGTTTTGAAACTGAAGTATTGTATTAGTCACAACGGGATGGAAAGTCAGACGTTGAAAACAATAAGGGTAAAACAAATCAGTTCACGGAATTATTCTTCTGATGGCGCTCCTTGATAACCTCCGCCAACCGTCGCAAACCCTGCGAATTGTCGAGCTTTCTTATATCTAGATTGGCACGCCGAGGAAAAATTATTCTCACTTCATCAATCATTTCCGGTGATGCACTGGAGTAGGATACTCGGACATATGGAGTAGGTTTTCTAGTGGCAGCTGGTTGGAATGGCTCCCCAGGTACACAGAGAACGCCTTTGGCAACACCATCGACCATAACCAAACTTCTGGTGTCTGTAACATTCTTGACCTTGAGCCATAGAAACATGCCTCCCCCGGGCTTATACCACTCTGCCAAACCTTTAAGTCAACAAAAACTTCAGTTCATAATTCAAGCAGTGGTACACACACCCAATGGTACTGTTGGTAGCTTGGTACCATCACATAGGTTTAGAGGAACCACATTGCTGTATTCTGAGTACCGTGCGCACCTTCATTCTCGAATTTGAGAGGAAAAAGGGGGTAAGCGTCATAGTTGGCTGAACTTTTTTTCAAAAAGTTTTCGAAATATAGATAAGCATACTCGATTTGAATGAGGAAATTTGGACAAAATTTAACAGAAAAACATTTTCAATGGGAACACTTGATAATTATTTGGATTAATGTTCAATTCATGTCTAAATTCAAATTTGGGGGTTTTCATGCTTGAAATACAGTATTGCACATTTAGATTCACTAAATATGGAGTGCACGTCTTCCTCAGGGATAGGATTTTATCAAAATTTCCGACTGATCGTCTTAATTGAGGGCGCGTTGTACTAGGGTAAGTATGGCAATCAATTAAATGGAAAATTAATTGAATTTCGGAAGAATTCATGTACAAATGAAAATCCTTGGTCTCTTATTGAAATACTTACTTCATGGCAGTTTTTCAGCAACTAAAAATAGGATGCCTGTCTTGGTAAGGTTTAGGATTTCGTCATTAGGTCAGGCTGAAAAATCTGGGTGAGCATCTCACTTGAGGGCTGGTGGTACTCGAGTAAATGAGGGATCTGTTACAATATTTGGATTCTGCAGCACTGCTTCTTAAACCAGCGGTGATGCATAACCAGGTTATGGAGATGGTACATTAATGGAGCCTCGTAAATTGAAAGGTTTCGTCTACAGAAATATTGAAAATCCGGCTTTATCAAATTAAATGTGAGCATACTAACCAGACAAATGCTTTTTACAAGCATCAAGAGCCAAGTTACACCGCGTCTGGTACAATTCTTTCACAGATTCCACATGTCGATTGAATCCGTCCCAACCCCATCCGTCCAGAAGCTTTAGGAAAACTATTTGAAGTAGTGTGGGGACATGCATGATGCTGACTTGCTGATGCAAGGCAATCCTCTCAACTATTTCAGGAGGACCCGATAGGCATCCCAATCGCATGCCAGCGGCAAGTATTTTGCTAAAGCTGTCCAAGCGAACAACTCTGCCATCTGTATCCAGACTCAAGAAACTTGGCGGTAGAACCTGAAATTGAAGGGGTCAGTAATCTCTCATTTTCTCAGTGGGCGACTGGTTGAGTTCGATGTGAATTTTTATCCCAAGAAAATTCAGAAGGGTTGAAAAATGGAATGCAGAAAATTTGGCATAGCTGCAAGTGACCTCATCGATTAAAAAAAAAAGAATCCCTCCAAACTGAACACAGGGAATAAATGAGAATTTTTATCTAGCACCTATTTAATCGAGGTCCACATCCAAAATTGATGTTAAATGGGCACGAATTTAGAACAACCTCATTTGAGCCAGCTAAGTGACTTCAGCGATATCATTTTTTGAACGCTTCTTCCTTCGTCATTAAACTTCTCGCATGCGACGCTCCAAAAGGTCAGACTTCCAGAACTGCAAAAATTGTTGCACATATTCAACAGATAACTTCGCGAAGACTCACGTCGGAAAATTGTAGGAAATAATACGGATCGTCTTCAATTATCAGCAAGTTGTACTCTTGCGCGATTCCATAAATCTCTTTCTTCCTCGCCAAAGTCAACGACGTACCGGTTGGATTTCCACCCGATGGACAAGTGTACAAAATCTGAGAAGTTCACGAATCTGGAAGTTGAGTTAATCAGGAACTTCCGCCATTTAATAAAAAAGAAACCTTTGGAACGCCGGAATCCGCTTTCCGACATTCTGATGGGTCCCAAGACGACAAAGCTTCTCTAAGCGCTTCTGGTTTCATCCCATCACCGTCGGAATCCACGAGTAAAAAATTGGGCTGCCAAGGTTCTGCCTGAAAATTGTCATATCCAGTACTTAAAAAAAAAGGAAAACCCGCGGCATTTCAGCGAAGTAATTCTGCTGAAAAGAATTACTGCACCACCACGATTTCACCATGAAAGCAGCTTCATGCAGGCCTGAAATCTCTTCATGAAAACGTTACTATAAAGGAGTCGCACTTGATAGAGAAGTTAGAAAAAATTCTTACAGCTGAGACGACGCCAGTGTATACGTGTTTCTCCGAAATTATGAAGTCACCTGGAGCAATTGTTGCTTCCAGCAATTTCGACAGGGCATCTTGGGAACCCGGTGTCATGATATGCCTGAGCTTAATGTCCGATTTCTCAGCATCGCTTCCGTGCAAATGGTAACGACTTATGAATTCTTTCATCTTTGCCATTAGCGGAGGGTACCTGATAAAATGATGAAAACTTCCTTAGCTTCTCCGATCCAAGAAAACTTGCTTTAGTCAGCAGTATAGCAAATACGTGCGTGCTTAATTTCACCTTAGAAATTTAAACCAGCCTGAAGAGTGATGCAGAAACAATATTATCTACCGTACTTCTGTCTCTATTGCTAACTTTTTTCTGCTACATTTCGAAACCGGCTGTAGTTTCTAGGCATTCTACTGCTCCAGAAATAGCAGTAGGATTACTAAAGGGAATATTATGACCCTCCCTCTATAATCCGTACGCAAATCACACGATAAAATTACTGTACGTGTGATGAGACTTCGTATTCTACGACGCATTTGTATACAGTACCAATATTTAAATGTCGCGGTGACAGGCCTCGGAAGTCAGAATAGCATTTAAATTTTAAACGACGTCAGCCGAAATGTCAAATGAGGGGAGATAACGTCCATTTGGAATTTGTGCATAATTGCGCGGAGACTGAGGACAACTTTTTTCTTCTCAGAAATTTATTTGTAACATCCGATGCACATTAAACCTTCAAAATGAGAAAACCTCGTCAGAAAATAAAACACTTCCAATTGCAACCCTCGCTTCAGTTACTTTTCTTATGCTCCAACAAAGAAAAAAGGAAAAACGACGACGTGGGGACGAAAAACTCACCCATCAGTTGGCGAATATTGCAATCCGATTTTCATCTCGGCTTCATCCACGTCAATCACAGAACCGTCGCGTAAACGGAACTGGGCACTGAGGAGTGGAAATGCGTCACCATTGGGCATTCCACCAGCTAAAACGATGCAATCCTTCGACAACGACGGCAACATTCCCGCTAGAAAAAAATAAATTAAAGATATTTAAAAAAAATTGTTTTTTAAAGATTCAGTAATATACTTACTGATCTCTCGGATTGCAGATGGCTGCCGTCGCTGCGAAACGTCGTTGATGAACCGAACATAGCTCGAAATTTTGCTCACCCTCATCGCGCACGTTTCGATTAAAATTTCTCAAATTTCCATGGGTAAAATACAAAATTGAACGACAATCCTGCGCAATTGAAAATTTTGTTTTCCTGGGAAAGTTGGTTTCTTGCTTTGGAAACGTTATTATCCGCTGTTAAGCTCGTGATTCCTCCAAAAGAATGCTTGAAAATTCTTCCATCACTTCTCATAAACCATCACGGGCATGATTAAAAGCTAAAGCAAACGGATTAGAGTAACAAAGCACCGAAATAAACGCCTCACGATTCCCGAGCATGCGACTAGAAGCAAACATAGGAACTGACAGGACACTCGCATATGAAGGAGGAACAAAATATTTTACATCACATCTCTGTCCGTCGGTGTCTCTCGCCTTCACTATGGAACCAGGAAGACAGTGACCTTGCACTTGGTGTTAATCATACACACACGTAAAAAAACGTAACCCAAACGCCACGTTTACAACAGCAGCGAGACAGGCATGAAAATAGGAACCTCCTTGAAAAGTTCGCTAAACGAAGTAATAATCTGAAGAATTTTTTCAACAAATTCAAATAAATGTATCGCATTTTTGGCAGATGAATCATTTCTGCATTTTACCCCGGGAGTTTAAAAAAAACTGCGCCGCTTCCAGTCTAATTTCCGAACTGGATCAGGTATTCAAAAAAAGTCTCGGTTGAATGTCCAGTCATGGACGTATAAAAACGATGGCAACCATAAATTGCTCGCAAAATAGCCAGAATTTTTCGCCGAAAAGATAAGATCTTGAAATCCCCACACAAGAAAACCAAGAAGAGAAGTAAAGGCAAAGCGGAGAAATGAATTCACGTTCAGTGATCAGGCACAGATCTTGAAAGCAATCGCCGACCTCACTCGATCCGAGATCACAGCAGGCTTTCTTTCTTTCTGCGGAATTATCTTTCACGACTCTGGTTCAGAAACAACGGTGTCCTCGACGCAGTAGAATTGAACAAGCAGCTCGTCCAAGCCTTCGCGAGTCCTGAGCATGCTCATCCCAGAAAGCGGCAATGAAGGAGCGATCGTAGGGTCTTGGAAATTTCTCACTTTCTTAAGATCATCCAAAATGGAAGCTCCAATCACGCAAAGCTTTTTGAGGATGATCGACTTGGCAACACTGAAATGATTGAAATAAGCCAGTGACGGAATGAAAGAATGACTTTTTTCTTCTCTTTACACGCGGTAGTCAAACCTCTTCAATTCGAATTTCTAGAACCATCTAAAATTTCGAGTCAGGGAAACAAAGCATTTTTTTCGGGGAAAGGACGAAGAATTACAGGATATTGTAATTGGTGATATTTTTGGCCTTGCATTGCTTTTTGAGTAACTTGACTTGATGCTGAAGTTGAAGACAACTGCTTAGTTTCCCCAATTAATCCTTCACTTCTTTTAAAAATTCATGATGGTCGATTTTTATTGTTTTTCTCTTTTCTGTATCAATAATAGCCAGAAGGCCTCGAGAAAAAAAATTAGCTACTAACCTTTGTATAGAAGATGTGCACTTCATTTCGTCAATATTTTTTGTCAACCCTCGCAGCTGGCTTAATCTGAATTCCGGACTTGACAGCTCAGAATCGGAGATCTACGGACAAAAATATTACAGAAAATTAATCCTCGCTATACAAATAAAACAGTTGTTAATTGTTGCTCACCTGAATCTTATTTTTCAATGCAATGAAATCGAGGTAAACATTTCCGCCGGTTTGCCAGTCTTGAATCACGGCAATACGGTCAGGTGCGTTGAGTCTGGAGAACAACTGATTCAGGGTGTCCCAATCATCTATGCACCAGAATAAAAAAGAAAAAAAATTACAATCTACGAATAGTACAAGAACTACGAACGTTTTCACTGATGCACAGATGGATTAAATCGAAAAAAAAAAACAGGTAATCATACCTTTCATAACGAGATCCGGTGCGACGCGAGTAATCAGCAAATTGTGAGCTTCTACGAACTCTTCAGCGTCGATCAGGTGCTCCACTTCTTCCAATTGTCTGAAAAGGAATTCATTCGCATTTGTTAATGATCCACGATGCATGCCAGCGAAGCGGAAAAAAAAATCCAATTCGAAAATCTGAAATGTGACGATCATGATCTTTCCCACTTACTTTCCGAGACAACGGGCCTTGGCGGCTTTGACAGATGCGATCACCTTGTACGGAACAAGCAATTTCTCACAAACGAATCTTTCCTTCCGTGTCGCTTCAGATTTAGAAAATTCGTCAAGATCCGAGTTCAACTTCACATTGCGTTCGATTACGCCGGTACAGCATCGACGACGTCTACAAAGCGAAAGAAAAAACCGTTGAATTAAATTCGAACCTGTGATTTCAGTCGCGAAGTATTCAGAACATGTTTTACTCAGACCTCTAAATATGACTATTGCACAGTTGTCCTCTTTTTAGAAGAAAACTAGGATCTCCTTTCACCAGATTTATGAAAATCCGATGTTGGAGATTACGCTGTTAACTGGTCGGAATATTATGAAGTACAATCATGAATTTGCGGTTACCCCGGATGCTGAATTTACTCACTCATCAGAATCTTGAAGGTGCAGCAAAACGAAAATAGCCCATTCCCACAAAGCGATGGTCTCCAATTGGGCGGCATAGTTCCGGATCACATTCGCGGCAACATTTGGGTGGACTCTGCGGATTCCCAGTCCACTGAGACTCACCATAACCAACCACCTGGTCAGAAACGAACAAAAGTAATGATTTCAGGTTTTTCAGAACAAATCGAAAAATCCAGAATACTGCGTTTAAAAACGTTCCATGATTACAAAAAATTGAGCAATTCTCCTTCACGCCAGACACTAGGTTACATATGATCAGAGGCTTTCAGAACGTCACGCCTATATCGTGAACCTAGCAAACTCAACCAGACAAACCCTTTCTTCGCACAATTCAAAATTTTATTGAACAAATGTGTATAGAATACATGCCACGCCTGTGTAATGAATAAAATCCCGGACTCGGGGTAGCTACAGCATAACGAAGGAACCTGAATACATTGAAAAATTCTTAATTCTGATCAAAGGACTTCTCTCACTATGAAGATAACATACGGGCTAAACGCATTACACATCGCACAGTGTACTCGAAACATACCATATTCCAAAATGCATGTTTTGACTTAATTACTCATATAATCAGCAACAACAACAAAATTACAAACATCATAAATGATGCAAAATTTACAGGAATATGCACATTTTGACACATGCTGATGGGAAACCAGTTTATGAGATATATATACAGTACTGTACTGTATATAGATATATATATTTTTTTCCTCCAGAACCACGGGGGATCAAAACGTGAATCAGAACAAAAACTTTCGAAATCGAAGTTGATAGAATATCTGGACCAACTAACCAATGACGGCATAGGATGAATAACTTCAATAATCACTCGAATTCAAACTCACGTCATTCGGTAATCTAATGGGTCGCTGCAAAAACAAGCAGGATCCATCATCGGTTCCAAAGCGTATAACCGATTCATATAAAGCTTAAGAAGGTGGAACGTTAGATCCATTGGGCCATTATTGCCGCTGGCATACGGTGGGCTTGGGTACGGGGAAATCGGACCCCCGATTTCATCAGTTTTAAAGCTGGCTTCGAAGGATTTGACAGCTTCAGCAATCGGCGAAACCAGTGATGAGAAATACCTGATGACGAAAAAGAAAATCATCGCAAATTTCATAAGTCTCTTCTGGACATTATATAATCAAGGTATTGAACAATCAAAAAATGGAGATGTGTACATAGAACGCCAGAAACACGCGATTCTCAGTTATCTTTAGAAAGGCACAAAATAAAAAATAAATGTATTCACCACAGATGCAAGGCGAAAGCTCTACGCCAGTCAAGACCTTCCGCTGGATTGATCAATTTCCCGTCAGAAGTCAGCCACTTCGGAAGACCACTTAGAATGCAATAAATTTTTAAACGAATTTCGTTGATCTTTTCATCCAAGTGAACAGCAGTCCATGTTTCCAGTTGCTGTTTCAACATTGACTTCGCCTTGGGGGCTGATCCCATAGCAATGAGCTGGCCAAGATTGAAATCACCTTTTTTCCACAAAAAAATCCATATCAGAACCCATTTCTTGGACGCAAAATTCAAATCATCAGCTGAAACTTACTCCTCTGCACAGAGGAGTAGGTCTCAAAAGAGCAGGTTCACAGAAGTACAAGAGGATAAGTGAATTTACTTGCACAAGATGCATGTTTTTGAATAAGTAAGTACAGTATTATAATACTGTAGCATGTACAGTATGTCAGTTCAAGTCAACTAGTCTAGTTAACGATTTTTACTCTTCGAAAACGTGATCTTCAATATACTCGATTCGCTATTTCAATATCTTCCTTCGTTCAATCTCACTTCTGAAACCAACTAATCGTCAGTTGATCTTTTGTAGCAAAAGCCCAAAAATAATGTTCCATGGAGAGCAGAATATGACTTAGCTGCTAGATTCGTGACCCTTTACTCTAGAATGAGAGACAAAGAAATCCGCTTAAGAAAACTGGGAACAGAAACTAATGTAAAAGCAAGAACTTCTGCGTCGATACCTTTTCGCATGAAGTGCTATTACGTCCTTGGTTTGAAAAGCAGAACGCTGAAAACTTACCCAATTGGTTGCAGGCTTTGACAGCATCCCGAAGCCTGTGCTGAACGACGTTGTCAAACGATGTCACGGGGGAATCATCACCAATTTTCATCACGAACGGAGATTTGTATCCCATATTTTTCAGCCACGATGTTAGGGCTTTCTTCCGAAAAACATTCGTCACATGGTCATAGGCATCTGAATTTCAAAAGTTGAAACAAACAAAACTTCAGCTGCAGTTGGTAAGGATGTTTCATCTCAAGGCAGTTCCGGCACCGCGTTAAACAGATCACGCTGAACATAATTCTTCAATTCAATAAAACGCACCTTTTTGCTGACTGAGCCGGTCTTTAGAATCCAGACCCCACAAGGCTACCATCAGATCCCACACAATCTTCGACTCTTTAACTTGTTCGTCTTCCACGGCGTCTTTTTTCAGCTCGGCAAGAAGGGCAGCAACCGCTTCTGCTTGATTTTGAATGCAATCAGAACCGCGTTTCGCTTCTATACGAGGGTATTCTCCGCCGCTATCATCGACATCCGCGTGTTGCAATTGGATTTCCAACGCAGACTCGTGTATAACCTGCGTTTTAGCAACAAGCCCACGTGAAAATTCATCCACTCCAAGTCAGACATGAATGGAAGGCAAGATGTTTAGCAACCACACATTTCCAAGTCGCAGGAAAATGAGGTTGTTTGGAAATGTTCACTGCGAGAGGGCAACATTTTTTCAAGGAAATCGTAGTAAACGGATTTGCTTCAAAGTTGATACCAAAAAGAACGACTGATCGTGCGTGGTTAGCCATATCACTTTGAAATTATCCAACTATATTCAAATAATTCCTCCAACTTTCTCGCCATTTCTTCTCCTACCCCAATGGCCAATGCCCGACGTCATTACGGCTATTTTATGTTTCAATACAGCAAGCGTCGGATATTCCGACAAACGAACAGAGATCATATTTTTCGAAAAAAAAAAAAAAGGGTGCGATCAAGCGTACAGTAATATTTGTCGTACTGCGCGAAAAACGAAAATACACAATTAATTAAACTTTAAGAGATATACGCAGCTATTTAGGGGGAATGTATAATGTATAATTGTAGGACAGATTCGTTTGTGCAATTATCAGTACCTCATCCATTAAAAAAATTCAATTGCCATTCGTTGAAAGGCACTTTGACTGCTCTTATCAGAAACAAGTCCATACACAGTGCGGGGTTTAAATCAACAGACTATACTAACGTGCTGTAGCTTGATGTTGCTGAACAGCATATCGCTGGACGCCATGCCAACTCGTTCGAAGAAAACAGTACCCGGTCCTCGAATGGCCGCTAACTGCTGCACATTTCCCAGGGGAAACCCAGTTGTTGAAAGATCTTCGCCTCGGCATGCTGATGAGTGTAATGAAAAATAAAAATGCTATCAATTCGACGAACAAATCGAAAAACTGAAAAGCAAGCTATGTTTACTCGGAAGAGTGACAAAACCTGACACGTATGTAACCTGTTAGTCGAATGCATTGAGGGGCTTTCAAAAGCAGAAAAATATCATTAAAATGGATTGCAAGATTGAGTTTAAAATAATCAGTGCATAGCTGCATACAATTAGACAGACCGACAGACGATGGTAAAATATAAGAAGTACTTTTTTAGAAAATGTTTCGGTTTTTTTAAGAAGATGCAGTACAGTACCATTATTCTTGAAGACTACAATTGGAAGTAATAAAATACAAAAATCGTCGTGACATTACCGGAATTGAATTAAAATGTAAGTTTTCGAAATTTAAAATACTATTCAGCAGTCCTGAATAGGACGAGAGGGTTCGTACATATTGTGTTCATAGATTAATTGCTGTTATAGTCTGATGGTTAGTCCAAGCACGTATTCAAACAATAAAATCATTGACGACACATCTGACTTCAGGGGAATCGAACAATTTTTGACGCCAAAATTATACAACGACAGACTCAGGAAACTAATTCTAGCTAATCTTGCACACCTGTTTTCTCCTCCTATGGTAAATACTATAGACACATTTTCATGTCAAATGGTTACCAAGAAGACGTGAATAACAGTGGGTCAGATTCTCTGTACACCATCTTTAGAAAGGTGTTCAGTAGAGTAGACCAATCATAACTCCGAACTCACCGGAAGCAACACCGCAATGCACGATTAATCCTCCTCGTCCCCAACACAAGGGTATACTCCGTCCCATATTTCCAACAACGTCAAGGTCAGACTTCGGCGCCGCATGGACAACCAAGTATCCCGCCGAATTTCTCCCGCTCACCGATGGCAACTCGTCATCGTCCCGCGGCCCGTGACTCTCAACCAGGATCCCATCAAACCTGTGGTCCGCAGTAACAGCCGACGTCGACAGGATCCGCAAAAGATCTTCTTTTTGGAAAGGCGATGAAACCAAAGCAACGTCTTCAGAAGTTCCTTGGATTGGAGACGATATATTCGAGGGAAGAATTGGCGGCGTGGCAATGGTGGCACCCAGAGCGGTCTTCCGAACAAGCGACGGACGCTCGATGAAAGTGGAAGAACCGCCTNAACCAGGATCCCATCAAACCTGTGGTCCGCAGTAACAGCCGACGTCGACAGGATCCGCAAAAGATCTTCTTTTTGGAAAGGCGATGAAACCAAAGCAACGTCTTCAGAAGTTCCTTGGATTGGAGACGATATATTCGAGGGAAGAATTGGCGGCGTGGCAATGGTGGCACCCAGAGCGGTCTTCCGAACAAGCGACGGACGCTCGATGAAAGTGGAAGAACCGCCTGAAAGTATTGAACAAAAACAGAAGGATCTCAACTAACCAATCAAAAGAATAAAGTACGTCAACGCAGATAGATACCGTGTCTTCCAAAAAATATTCTTTAAAATTTGTCGAAACGAACATTTAAATCAATTTCATTGTAACCAAAATCCCTACTAAGGATATATCTTATGAAAACAGTATTTCACCATGGAAAATCGAATCCTTTGCTGATCATATAAAAAAAAAAATTCAAAATCGTTCCTTACGTGGCATCATTTCGTCCAAATCTTCCTCCTCAAAGGCGTTTTCATGATCATTGAACAGAGAGGTCTCCCGGGCCCCAGCGAACAAGCCTAGTGATGGCCTTTTCAAAGGGTATTGGTTTTGTAAATTTTGGGAGCCATTCACGGGGATTCCAAAGCTGGAGTCCGTGAACCACCCGAGAGAAGGTCGTTTTGGTAGCAACGCTTGCTGCGCTCGAGGAGAAAATAAGTTCAAAGCACTAACATCCAGCTTCTTTCCTCTCGCTTCGGCTTCACGCACACCTTCAACATTTTCAGAGGTTCGTCATCACTTCGAAAATGTATTCTTGCCACGAGACATAACGTCTCGTAAATATCATCCATAAAATTTGACAAATACAATACCCATCACCGCAAAACGTTCTAGTGATTATCACATCACCCAAGCACATAATCAAGAAAGACAATCGCGAAGAATACTACGAAGAAAAGTTAACACAGATTCTGGACATGGTAGAGGAACATTTTCACATCCATCTTAGATGAAGACACAACTGTATTATTCGTGCTTTGATCAGGTCGGAACATTGGAGCTATCACCTTTCGTGGCTTCAAATTATAATCAAGAAAGAAAATCGCGAAGAATACTACGAAGAAAAGTTAGCACAGATTCTGGACATGGTAGAGGAACATTTTCACATTCATCTTAGATGAAGACACACCTGTATTATTCGTGCTTTGATCAGGTCGGAACATAGGATCTATCACCTTTCGTGGCTTCAAATTACCATTTTTTCCGTAAATTTAGAAATCAACAACAAAAATAAGCAGTTATGTCACAAAGGTTCTCTCAACTTTAACGCCCAACGTACCCGACCACATGAGCTTGTTAGCTTTATACACCCATCGGACCATCCTGAAAGCAACGTCGGGCGTTCGTGAGAAGACCCGGTGTTTCATCTGATAGAATTTAGATCAAAACTTCTCCCCAAAATTTTCAATTAGTTCAGAGTTGGATTCAACAATAATAGAACCATTCTCAATTCATGTCCTCACATGCATCAATAAACGTCTAAAACACTGAAGAGAAGTCAATACCATCAAAGGTATCCTCGATTCCTGCGTCTTCCATGATGATTTCATCACCAACAATGCCGTTCAAATGATCCTGAAATCCATTTCCGTTCTCGAGGACTCCTGCGCTTTCCTGCAACAAAAAAATCGATTTCAAATTAATTCAATGCCGGACAGAGATGGATCCTTGGGGAATGTGCCATTTGGACGTCCAACATCCGATATCTCATCAATAACACATCATTGATGAGAAACGAAAACAGAATTTTCAGATAGAGTTTAAGATCTCACCTTTCCAAGAAGCATGTTTTCCATGCCGGACAAATTAGCCATATTTTCGGTGGCCGTCAAGGTTTCCATTGATTCGGGTGGATTCAGAAGAGTTTTCGGTTGCACAGGTTTCAGTAGTAGGACAGCATTGGCCCTACTTGGGTCTTCTAATATCATGCACTCATCTTCATCTTCTTCCTCCAAGCCGTATTTCGAGAAATGCCTCACCTGTTAATAGATAGTTACTAAATGTTACTTGTGATCAGGTTAGGTAAAGCGTTGAAAAGAAAATACTTCATTTTATTCGAGACGACAGACATTTTTGTCAAATGAAAAAAGATGAATCTTACGTGGAAAACCCAGGATCCGTTCTCATAACGATATTCTTTGAAAGTCGCGCCCATCTTCCCGCAACTCTTCTCCAACAATCTGGCATAGCCCATGTCATCCAACCTTTTTCTTGATCGGACAACTTCCCCACCGCGTGCAACAGGCCAACATCCTTCCAGAGTAACTTCCGCATGACGATTCAATCCTTGATTCAATGGCGGCTTCATGTTGTCATCTGGATAAACCACGATCTCTTTCCTCCGGATGTGGACTGTAGGGAAAAAATACACCGTAATTGAAAAAAGAACGCTTTCATTAACTTTATCAAGGTGTCTCAAAAATATAGGGAAATGAGGAACTTATACAGGAACTTAGTTTGTAATAATTCTTCATCACTTAAAAATTTCTCATCTTACTCCGTGCATCAGAGCATAGACCAGAAACGTGTGAGCATTTCCGGAGCAAAAATACTGTACTTCAAAAACTGTTTTAGTTAAAGAAACTACATTTATACTCAAATGATAGACGAAATTCATGATATCAGAAAGCAATATTCATATTGTACAGAAAAATCTCGGTGGAGAGTTTACCTGTACCAAGTATTGTAATTTCAAGCGACCTTCAGCGACTGTGCAACTTTCAACTCTTTCGCCAATATTTTACAGTACTTTCGTTCGAGTTTCAGTAAAAATTCTTGATATGTGAAACTAAAATCGATTTCTTTTCTATAGCACACCAGCTTAGCAGATACCCTACATGAAAAACTACAATACCTATTTCATCGATGTCCAGCCCAGAAACGTCCATCTTCCCAGGAAAGTGAACACTTCCATAACCAGTTCGACCGATGGTGAACCCATCGACAGTGCACGACCCATCGGGCTGCACAAGTTTCTCCAATTCATCAGGCCCAGGAATAGTGTAATACCCAATGCGACAGCAACGAATACCCGCCGGGTATTTATTTTCCTCCATCACTGGTTCAACGCTATCATTCGATTTGTCAGCTGAGTTTTCCTGAATGAAAGATGTTGTGGTGTCGGGCAACATCAAACTTTCATTTCGCTGGTCCGTATTGCCATCTTGCGGGCCGATGACTTTCGGTGACGAGCTTAAAAAAACGTAAGAAGTTCAAAAAAACATACCTTCACAATGAACGCATCAAGGGCACCATATATAATAGTTGTTCAAACTTTTTGAATACGTGTTCCACGATGTGTCGTGAACTAAAATAATTTTCCTTCAAGCATTCATTTGCGATGACTCCGTCTTTCACGCGATATAATTTTTCAATCAAGCAAACGGTTCCGAATTAATTCAACATTTTCTTGAACGATGGATGGGAATAAAAACATTTCGACAACTCAAAGACAAGATGATTCATCACATACACATCAAATTACTGTGCATACAAATTGAAATCAGTCGCAGTCTGAACATTTTTTTTTCATAGATACTGTATTTTGATCATGTTAAACTGGAACGCTTTTAAATCGTAGATGATCAAAATTTCTCTGAAATTCTTTCGATCTGAAGAAGAACGACTTAAAAATCCGACCATTCAAACTAATCCGGACAACGGAGAGTTCGAATAACCGGATGTCACCTCAAACAGCATTCGCGACAAGAATCTGATGACAAGAGTGATGAATGATGTTGACCCGAACAACAACAAAATGCGCGATGTTCACGAATCTATTTCATACATTTTTGAAGTTCAGGCAAAATGCAATTGTACTGTATGTCAAGCGGATTGACTGTATTGCCTCGTACAAGAGTACGATTCAGTGCTCGTATCAGTTATCAACATTCTACTCTCGTTTGCATTCTAAAAAAAATCGAGAAGACTCACTTCCTTCCGAAAGAAACAGGAGTGGATCCTAAATGCTCGGACTCAACATTCCGCCTGAGAATCAACTTGCTTGGCGACGAGACATCTTGACCCCACTTTGCTTTGCCCGGGGAAGGCATGGACGCATTCAAGTCCGAGGGAAGCTTCTTGAAGTCAACTGGTCGGAATGATTTTATGCTTTTCCTCGCTGATTGCATCGTCACGTCTCGAGTGCTCGTCTCCATCTCAGAATCCAATCCTTGAAACATTGAGGCCTTCAACGGAAAGGTAACCAACAGAGCAATTTAGAACCTTTGCGTAAAACATATTCCTATAAATCTTTCCTCTTCACGTCCCACCAAAAACAAAACTCGAAGCAAAAGAGCACACAATTGAACGCAATAAAAAAAAATTTCGCAAAAAATACATGAATTCAAAAAATAAACAACTCGCTCAAAAAAAGATAAGTGTTGAACAAACCTGCTGTGGAGAAATGGCCAGTGATCGTCGCATAATAGGCTTCACGGAACCGTTCAAGCTGTCGAAAGATGGCTTGAATTTAAGCGAGCTACTCGGTTTTGCGTATGCACGCTGCGCACTCAAGCTAGTTGGCTTCGCCAACTCTTCTTTCCTTTCCGCCCGTTGGCACATATTTTTGTACACCGCCGAATCCCCATAAGGATTCCCGCCTAGCACGTTTTCTACAGATGGAGCTGGCTGTTCTTGCTGGACGTTAAAACTTGCTTGTGGCTGAGAGCTAAAACCAGGCAAAAAATAAACCATCAGTTGACAAAACATACGAGATGAGGTCATAAAATACGTCCTACGATCAGTTTCTCTCACGGCTAATGACCGACAACTCAAGTTCCGAAGTGAAAATGACGCCTAAAAATTCTTTCTGTTTGATCTCATAACCGTGAGCTTCGCGAGAATTTTTTACTTTGAAAATCCTCACACTTAATCTAAGCGAACAAGCAGAGAAGATTATCAGATAGAAGTAGACAAACCTTCCGAACAATCCACCTCCCGTGGTTCCAAAAGAGGGTGCGGCAGACCCAAAGCCACCTGAAGTACCAAAGGTTGACAAACCGAGACCAGTTGTTGAAGGCTGCGTTCCGAATAGCCCACCCGGTTTCTGGGTGCCGAATCCAGTCGATGTTCCAAATCCACCGAAGCCTACAAGTAACAAATTTCGTACAGTGCTTAATGTCGTGGAGGGGGAAAAAAAAACTTCAGGATAAATCATCGCTTACAATCCCAAATTTTACTTTACACGCCGTTTATCAGGCAGCATTACAGCGGTCAAGCCGAATAGTTCATCGCAGAGGTTTGTCTAGATCCTTTCACGATTTCTACATTTTCCTCAAGTCAACACCCACAGGAATTACCGAACAGGGATAGAAAAGAACGAATCCCATGCATTACCATTCATACGTTACCCCTTGCGTGATTTCAGTTTTCACGATTTCCTGCACGCTAGACGCTTCGAAAATGGACCTGACCTTCGTCAAAAATTCAACTTATCAATATTGGTTCGCTCGTTGCATGGAAGTTTCAGAATTGGCATCTGGGTACTGATTCAATTCTAGGAATTACAGAGACTTGCGTTCCAATCAATGAAGAATATGTCGATATATAGTAGAAGAATATGTCGATATGTCGAATGAAAATGATCAAATTCTTAGAAAATGATTCAACCGAATCCCGCGAGAATTCGAGATTCAATACATGACATATTCATCGTTCGTTTGACTAGAGATTCGGGAACTTGTTCCTGAACTGCGTAAGACAAGTTCAGGATCCACACAGGGAAAAACCTTATAAAACGTCTAGCAGTGCACTAATGAAAAGCCAAGTAACAACGAATCGCTAATTATTCACCTGTTCCGGAGGTTCCGGTCGATGTTCCCGTACCGAATCCGGAAAACGCCGGCTTACTCGCACCGAATAATCCCCCCGACGTCGACGTCGTGGAACCGAAGCCAGTCGTTCCTGAACCGAATCCAAACCCGGAGGCTGGAAAGATTAAACAATAAATAATCTCGCATCAAAATGTCAACTCGAGAATGAAATGAAACTTACACGACGTCGTAGTCGCGCCGAAAGGAGCAACTGTACTTGCTGGTTTCCCGAACATTGTTCCCGATGTAGATCCAAAAGCAGAGGGCTGACTCGTTTGGCCGAAGCCGAAAGTTGTAGGAGCAGTCGACGTTGTCGCGCCAAATCCCGTCTACGGCAAATGAAAGATTGGAAAGTTAAATAAAACTGGTCACTTCTTTGATATTCATACGCCAAAACTACCTGCGCTGGCTGCTGAGACCCGAATCCGAAAGATGTCGTCCCGAAGGAAGTGGAAGGTTGGCTGGTTGTAGCTCCAAATATTCCCGTGCTTCCAGCTAAATCGATGAGAAAATATAAAAAAAATATATTTAGTCGAAATTCAGCTGAATTTTCTCCAGCTGGACTACATAAAGCTAGAAGGGTCCGATCATGCTAGTTTCCTCGCTCTGAAACCCCTTGTCAAAGTAAGAGTACATCAAAATCCCGAAATGATCAAATAAAACGGAAGGGACATATGATTCATCCTCTGGATGGAAAAAGTATTTCCGCCAATTCGGCGCGAGGAATGAAAATAACCACTTAACACCTATCATTTTCCTTCGCCTTCCTGACATTACTCAATTGTGAAGTAAAACCTCTTCTTAGGTCAGTAAGAGTTCGGGAAGTGACCGTGTATCTCCTACAGCGATGCCCAAAATATGTTGAGAAAAGCTGGTCGAACGCTGATAATTTTTCAGCACTAAGCACTGCAGAATGATTGGAATTCTTCCGCAGACGCCGCACATAAGACAAACGAAACTCTCACGAATACCTTCTACAATTCGATCATCAAACTCACTTCCGAATGCAGGTTTGTTTTGAGTCTGTCCGAATATTCCCCCTGTGGTTGCACCCTGGGTTTGTCCAAATCCAAACGTCGTGCCAGCAGACGACGTGGGCGTACTAAACGCAGATTTCTGTCCACCGAAAAGACCACCTCCCGCAGGTTGAGACTGTTGGCCGAACAAACTCCCACCAGTTGTACTTGTCGACCCGAACAGAGGCTTATTTTGTTGAGAGCCAAATAAACCGCCGGCAGTGTTGGTAGTTGTCGAGGCCCCAAATAGAGATGGTGCAGCAGAACTAGTCGCGGTGGTTCCAAACGGCGACGCAAACCCTCCGGCAGCGAGACGGTTCTGAGGACCTTTATCGCGACCCGCCATGTAATCTTCCCATCTGATCTCCTGATAAGTCAAACCCTCGGTGTTAAAATAATTCCACGCGAAAAGTTCTTATACATGACCATCAGGGGCTGAGTTCATGAGATAGAAACCAGAAAAACTTCATTTGTACGAAAGAAATAGTTCACTGAAAACATGCTTGCTCAGCGTAGTACGGTAATTTACCTAATTTTAACTCTGGATAAAACGATCTCACAAAAATATTCAAGAATTTGATTTGCCTCGCAGGCATTGAATTCGAAAAGTATGCGAAAAAGTGCAACGGAATTTTTTTCCTCTTTGCCAATATACGAAAAATTTTGACTCACTTCAATGGATTTATTCTCGTACTCCTTCATAACCGTGATGGTCTGATGCCGTGTGTTAACTTGGGACGACACTCCATTTTTTATCATTGTGTCAGCACCAGTGCTCGGTGCTTCAAACTTTATGTACGATCCTTGGCCTTGCTGAGCTCCAAACGCGCCTGAAACATGCCGAGCGAGCGGACGCATATTTTCAAATTCCATTCAAGCATCTTAACGAAAAGCTGGTTAAGGGATTAACGTAATGAGTATTTCGGAACTCACCAGTTGTAGAACCGAAAAGTCCGCCGGGTTTCGACTGTCCGAAAATGCTTCCAGCTTGCGGCTGGGCAGTGGATCCAAATAGTCCCCCTGACGCAGCTGTTGGCGTACCGAAGCTACTTCCAAATGGTTTACTTTGCGGATTACTAGCGCCGAATAAACTATTCGATGTTGACGGGGCTCCAAAAGAAGGAGAACCGAATGATGTAGTGCTCCCAAACATGCCTCCACCTGCCGTAGTCGTGGCAGTGCCAAAGGCTACATAGACGAATTGCAAGATATGAATTAGTCGCGCGAACATTCAACACGCAATACGCTGAACGGATCTGAAAGCGACTCGAATTTTTGATACAATCCAAGCCTAGTCTCAATACGTCGAATTACTCATTGATCCTCTCACGAACTTCTAAGACCACTACACTAGTACAGTACAGTGAAGTAAATCTCAACCCAAGATATTTCGGCTGAAACTTCTCGATCAACGTATTTTCGAAGGACCCACAGCTTATTTTTCGAGACATGGCTACAGAAAACGCGAGAACAGATGTGAAGTATTACAGCATACAGCATTCAAAAAGCGATAGAGAACCTCTCTTCGAGTTGAAGGTATCTGAGACCAATAATTGAGCAGGCTTGGAAATATCTTCGATTAGTTTTTCTATTGTTACGCGCTAAATTTCCGACCTCAAAAATCCGACCATTTTCCTCTGAGGTTTCCTCAAGTTCCAACTGCGTTATGAGAATTTACGTGGAATTAAACCCATAGAAAACTTCATGGAAGGGAGTTTCATAGATAGCTCGTACAGTACATAAAAATTACTCACAACTGAAGCCAGAACTTGGTTGCCCAAAAACAGATCCACCGCTCCCGAAAACATTCGAGGTACCCGCTGTTGCAGGACGCTGAGTTCCAAATATTGCCCCAGTATTATTACCAAACCCCGCCGTCGTTCCAAATCCCGACGTAGACGTCTGGCCAAATGTTGATGTTGGTGCGGTGCTTCCAAATGCTAGAAAGCATAAATGATATAATGGGGAATCTCGCTGAAATTTAATTAAAACAAGCTTACCCGAGCCGAAGCCGGTCCCGAAACCTTTGTTTGCTCCAAACATTTCAAGTTTCCAAGAGCATGCAGGCTCTCGTCCACATCAATTTTCGTCGGGCCTTCTCGCGGCCGATACACTACCTCAATGTTCTTATCGAAAAAGTCACTCGTATGTTCTTCACCAATACGAAACAACTATATCAGCAAACGAGTAAGAGTACCAACTGACGGTGAGAAACATCGGTGTCAAGCTCAACAAATTACCTCGCGCGCGCAACGAATAAGGTAAATACAATCAATTTCGGCTATTTCAAAGAACGAAACTCGCAACCTTATTGAGTAAACTCATCGATCAGCATTCGTCGCACAGCGCTGACGAACTACACCTTTTGCACTTCTCACTGCCCTGAAACTTCGGCTTCCTTGGAGGCCAGACGACAAGGTTTGTGCCTCACATTGTCGGCTGCGTGCATCCGGCAAAATCTTCAAGATATTGTACCGGACCTTCAACGAGTAGTGTACTACTTTAGCGACATCTATGTAGGTACTGTATATTACAGTATGCATTTGTTATGATTAATCCATAATTCCATATACAGAATAAGCAGCAAATAAACAGAATTTCTGTCCTCACTGGACTTGCATTTACTGTACAGTATTACCAAATCTCTTGGAGAAACATACTTTCTCGAAGATGAATAAAAACAAAGGGATATGTACATACGACAAGCATTAATCACTAATACTGTATATTTACCGACATAAAAGAAAAAATAAGAAAAGCTAGAATGCTTCATGTGCGGAGGGCAGAGTGCTGGTTATGACACTAATGCCATTTAGAAACTCAATCCTCCCTGGAGAGTTTGAATCCAAGCCTGTGCAGGATGGCCCTCACAGCATATAAAGGCGTGCCTTGAGTTCATAAACAACGTGGGAGGACTGGAACAGTGGACATTTAACCCGTATACAACATATACTTTTCACAGAAAGAGACATTTCCCGGTATTTAATGTATGGAATATGCTGACATAGAAATAATTGAACTTACCAGTGCATGTATCTGGCCTTAAAGAAAATTGTTCTTCGGGAACTTTCTATGTTAGGAACTTTTGAACGATCAATAATGCGATAAATTATCCACGCAAAAAACAACGGTTGAATTGCTTGAACTTCGCTGAAGTCAACTCAATCTATACAATTATCTGAAATATTGCATGCAAAATCTGAACTTTCGCTAAGGATAGCAATCTGATTTCACTCATGATAATTGAATCTGAATGTCTCAAAATTCTCCCTAGTATTATATTTTAGCTACCATATAAGTTCATATTAAAATCCTTGTGTGTTGACTCTTACCATCAGAAAGTCAAAAAGTTATGGCATAAATTGGCACAAATCTACCGTTATCAATAAAGGAAAGAACCATTAAATTATGCAGGAGGCAGCTTAATATTTAAGCTCTATTATAAGCTGGTTAAATTTCAGGTCGCACATATTTGGGTACACAAATTGGTAAGCTTTTTCAAAATTCAGGTTCATCTATGTTTGCATGGAAAGTGCATCAAAATTTTATTTTTTGCACTGATATAACTGCAGGCTTCGTCTTGCTCCGCCTCCTGACAAGTAATAAAATAATCATGGATTTTCAAAAAGTAAATTTGTTTGAATAACGGCGATCAAATGGATCAATTCAAAATCAGCAGAGAAAAGCAATAAATGTAATGTTTTTTGATCAAGAAAAGTATATGCATAGTTTAACGAGACGCTTGCTGAAATAAACTCGGCCATTTACTCGTGCGTGTTTTTAATAAATAAATTGCAGCATTTTGCATCCAGGGTTATTTGAATTCCGATATAATTCAAATTAACGAGTGATGAATAATCCGGCAAGTGAATGCTACATACTGGAGCACTCGTACTTGAAAACAAAAACAACGCGCGTGTCTTTCACCACACTTTCGGAAAGTAAATAATACTGTACTACTGTATATTGTATATACGTATCTTGTGCGGTTCAGAGAAAATTCCCCAATGTATGAGCAAGAGGTCATTAACCCTGGACGATCGAAGATAAACAGTAGAAAGTTGAAAAATTTTTCAAAACTGTGTGTATATAGAGCCAGCACAGACGCTCTGTTGCAATCATGCGAGTATGTGTATAGATATAGTTTAAAACAGGAAGCATTTTTGTCGAGACGCCGCTCTGCTTGTGTCTTTACATATATTTATCTATGTGTGATTTCAAAAAAATGTTTTGCAGCGATTTTGAGTTTAATTTTAACTAAAATACAATGATCGAGCATTAATTAAGTTAATCAACTTGATGCTCGATTATTCACAATATACAGTACAGAGTACAGATTTGCCGCGCATGCAATAAACTGCGAGCGAAAAATGGCAGTAATTGAGAAAAAAAACCAATGGGTGCTTTTCTGCGGTATTATTTGATTTGAAATCGTTTCTTTAAATGGTTCCACTCGAAGTGTGCACTATTCCACGGTTATATGTGATACGACGGTAGAGGATTTGTGGGAAATGTATTCAAAATTGCTTATGATGCAGGTCTTTCGGAATTCTTTTTTCAAGTACTGTATTTTATCTTTTGAGTAAAATTCTCTTCAACATTTTATAATTTGCTATGAATTTAATTATTTAGCGGTCATCAAGGCGTATATATATTTAGTCAGGTCATATTATTTAGCCTGGCTAATTCGACTCTGTCTTAATTATGTATGTTTATAGAATTCTGAAAATAGAATTATGTGGAAAGAACTCTTTTGTGCATATTCTCTGGTGTTGTTAGCAACACCTAAGGCTTCACTTTATTCAACAGCAATGACGAATCCTGCAGCTCACGCAGAAAACGGCCGTCAACTCGTGCGAATAGCAAGGTAGGGTTCTTTTGTCAATTATTGTTGCCAATATAAATTTTGCATCACTATATAGAAATGCGACTGAAATTCATATCATTTCCCTGTGAGACAGGAACACACAGCAGGACATCCCGAGACAAGGCGGGGAAATTGCGAGTGCAAATGGTTTAGATGAGCCTTCGAACCGCCGAATTTTGTCGCAACAATTCCAACGAGATCCGAGGCCGTTTCGTCAGCGTTGGCGAGACATGCGAATGCGTTTGAGAAGACGAATGGGCGACAAATTTTTGCAATCTGCAGAAAGGGCGAGTTCTCGAGCGATGGACCGATTTTTCGACGATGTGCTTTTCTCGGGAGCTGCGAGAACCATGCTGAAAGCTGCCCTGAAATCATCACTTGTGAAACCGATTTGATTGATTTGATTGACTACGACTGAGTTCTTTATGTGGTTTCGAGCGATTGTTGAGATTACTCAAGGCGCTGCATTTAATTGCAATCGCAGGGTAATTTTAAAAGGCCTATTTCGCACAAGACCTGCATAATTGAGTTTCTCAGCCTGTTTGACCCGAGAAACCGCTGTTTAAAATTGATTTCTCTGGCTAAGCCATTTTACGAAAACTATCAAAATCGGAAACGGGACCACAATAAAAGTATGGATTTTTGAGCTGTGAAAAAAGCAGGCGTTCTTAAATGTATTTCGGCCTATAATATGAAATGATAGACGAGCTATTTCGAATCGTTTCTTCACAGCCTACTTATTCTGCATATCATGAATTTATTCAATTATCTTTTGCTAACTGCTTCGCAGAGTCCTTCGGGAGTTCATAAAAAATAGATAGAATGAGTATACAGATTGAGCACCGCAGCTTTGTATTTTTTGGCATCCATGTTATTGACCGACTTCTGCTGGAAATTTCAAAATGTTAGCGATTTTCTAGGATGTATATTTTTTTTACTGTTTTGGACCATCACCGTTACCTTCAGATCCGTTTTTTTTCGTCATATAAAACAACCTACATTATTTAGGCCCTATACGTGCTTCATATACATGTAAAATAAAATGTTTTAAAGCTTCTCATCAGCACTCACCATGCATCAGGAAATAGAATGCTTTTGAAAATAAATTACCAAAAATATAAATAATCCCTTTAATAATGGAAAAATTTTCTACACAGTTTTCACCCTACTTTTGGAACAAAAATTTTCCTACGCTGGAAAAAAATCTGCTTGATTCGAGACTTGTGTATCAATTTAAGAACCTCGCGGACAAACCACATTCAAAGGCAGTTCTTTTTCGTTCCTTCATCAATTTTTTTTGCGTTCGTATATAGAACAGTATTTTCTTTCAAATACTGTTTATAGGCGTATACTCTCTCAATATTGACTGCAACGATTTTATCTGTGTAACGATTTTTTGGTTCAAAATGGGTTCTCTCCCCATAATGTAGGGATTATTTGCAACAACGTTATCTCAACAACGATTTTTTCTGGTATCTTGAATTTCGTCGTAGAGAGAGTCGTCCACCACTGTATATTATCCATTTAACTCACGATCTAAGTTTAAAACAGCATTAAAAAAAGATTTCCGTCTTGACTAGACAGAACTTTATTCAAAGTTCCCTCTGCAGCTGGGGAATTTTAACGGTTTTTTTTTTCAGGATGCACATTTCAAAACTTTGAAAACGCAGGTACAGTATCTGGATCAGACATCACATATACGGTCATTAAAAATATTCAACACAAAGAATTTACTAATAAAAGACGAAATAAGGCTAGAATGTCTGATGTGAGGAGTGCAGAGTATAGTTGACTAATGCCACACAGCAACTCGATCCTCCCTGGAGAGTCGTCCATCCATATACAGAATATATACCTGAGCTCCTTTATACGGCCTTCCCACATACATAGGCGTGCCTCGGGTTCATAAACAACGGGGCCGAACAACTGCTGGACCAAGGGGAAGTGTAACCCTAGGTGTTGCCGCAGAAAGAGAGGAATTTCTGCGAAATTTCGTTGCAATAAACACAGTATATGACGCGGAAGGCGGAACTCGAAGGTGAAGTATATAAAATATAACCAAAAAAGCCCACCGAGTTTTTCGGGGGGTTTGGGTTTCTGAAGAATACGGAATAGTTATGATGCAATGTACTTCTTATTTAGAGGAAAGTCAAGGGGTACACATAGTTCTGCGAAGATGATAAGGATTGGTGTTTGAATTTATCTTATTTTTGAGCTACCACTAATGATGTTGACTTAGTATACTGTGGATAGCATTTTAGAAAGATTTTTAGGCAACCGCATCTGAAACAGTGAAAGCTATATAAAGTCGAATGACAACTTGAATCAACTTTTAATTGAGTATAGTAATCGGCATGATTTACTATAATTCTTATAATTGTAAAATGTCTGCCCCATTAAAAAAAAAACGCAATAATTTTTTTCTGGTGTTCAGTTACAACTTATTCACAAAATTCGTCAGCGCACAATCCAAAAAAGCCCTCCATCCAAACACATCTGACAGATAAATATGTTGAGAAAAGTGTATTTTTAGACTCTTAATATTTTTTTCGGAAGCTCAAAGATACATATGCTTTCATGTATACTTTCATGAATATGTCATGTTTATTAAATGTACTTCAAGAAAATATTTCGAAAATATATTTTGACTTAATAAAATGGATTAGGATTTTTTGTGATCGCGTTCACTGATGTAGGACAAAAAGGTTTTTGAACAGCATATTATTGCAACTCGAGTCAAATTTGATTCAATTTCCACCGTTTCGGAAGTGAAACATTGAGTCATTATATATATAGGAGGTAAATAGTTCGAAAAATCCTTGATTTGCTTTCTGAGCATTACATTAATTATTTTGTCAATGTCGTTGATGAGCTCCTTACGCTCGCAAAAGAATACATGAACAAAACAGGAAGAGAGATTGAAGAAAAATTCACGCAGTGGACTCGTTTTTTTTCCTGTGTTCAAAGATGAATGCATCAATATATGCTCAGCTATATTATTTAGAATCGATGCATTTCACGAAAAACTCCCAAAAGCGAGAAGGCCACAAATAAAAAGTACACGATTTCACCTAATCTCAAACGTCGCTTTAATAGCTGGGTCTCGGTGCAAATTTGAAAACATCAGGATTTCTTTCTGCGCGCAGAATTTCCGAATTCGATCTAATCAGCGAAAACCCAGGTTCGGGTCGTGCAGCAGCAGCACTTACAGAAACTGACCCATCCCCACTTATAATTCGTCCATCATTTTTCATCATGGACCGCAACCGGAATTTCTCGTGATCCATTCTAATCGGGGACTTGTCCAATGCGCAGCGGTAATCCCGAGGTATTTCAAATTCGTTGCAAGAGGATTTAGTTGGGTGATCATCAGCAGGAATGCCACTTCGTTTTCGGGACTGATGATGATGATGTGCGCTGAAAAGCGTGCGCCGATTATTGGGCAGTCCATCGCCGCAAGCAAATGTGCTGGTGTCAGTGGAACTCGAATGCTTTGAACGGCCGGTGTATGAGTCTTTGTTGAACCTGCGGCCATTGTTTCAGAACGAGAGTATAAACGACATTGATCGAGTTGAGCAACATTTCTCGGCCGGGACTCGGGCTTTTTTTTTCTTTTCAGGGCCTGCATGCAAAAATTACAAACCCAGACGTATTGGTCTGAATATCCCTCAAAAACATCGCAATAAGCAAGGATTTATATTCGCGTAATTAAGGAGAATTTAAATTCTTTGAATTGAGAACTAAAGAGAAACTATATCGCAACGAATGTGGAATACGAGCAATGAATTCTCTTAAATCCTTTCCTTTTTCCTGTGCATAAACCAGGTAACCGCCGGGGAAAAAATCAGAAACTTTGAATTATTTTGGAATTGCAGTATAAATTTGCTGAAACTTCATGAAATATTCTACAGCACTAAAAAAAAACTCATTGAATTCGGAGCCATACTCTAAAATTTGACCTCTAGTATTCTGAACAAAATGATTCTGCAGTACAATGCAGATCACCAAGTTCCTTGCAAAATAGATAGATGGCATTCGAAGCATTTTCAGTTGTGCCTGAGCATCGCAACACTAATTAAAATTCTAAAAATCTGAAAAAAGCGCAAGATCGGTTCAACAAATTTTAAAAACTTGATTTGTGAATCCTTCCAACGTTTCCTTGATTCGAAATATTTCTCCTATAGGAATCGAAGAGTGGCGGATTATCCGAAAATGCGTGTTATTCTGGGAGTTATACTCCATTTGCGCAAATGCCCGAAAATTATCGAATCGCAAATTATTGAATCAGAAAAAATTAATTTGAATTAGATATTAACTTATTATACGCTAACTTATGCCTCTGATTCAAGTTTCTCTTACCAGGTGGCGCACCAACACATGCACATCAGGATGGCAACAGTAGAAGCAATGTAACTGAGAACAATGATCATTACACTTGATGGACTGGTGGACCAACTTCTTGGGTCATCTTGACGACGTAGACCTGTTTTCAGTCAAATACATTTTTAAATGTTTGCAGTATTTTGCCGATGAAGCGACACAACGCTGAGTTTTCAAAACGTCAATATTATTTTCGCTTCGAAATTCGTGTAAAATGATGCAACAGCATCAGGGATAATAAACCCAGCAAATAATTTGTTACAGGCATTACTAACGATTCCAAAATAGTGCGTGCAATAAAAAAAAATTGACAGACATCATTGTGGGTATCCTTTTTGAATTTTAATGCAGTAGGAGTTGCATTTTTTGTTCTTAATTCTGGACTTGTTTTAACTGAAGAATATAATTAAAATGAAAGAAGCATTTTCCTCTTCGTCGGATGTGACGAAGACGAATTGGCGCCTCTTTTTTTAATGATCAGAGTTTCATTTTCACTTTAAAAATTCACCTTTTTCAAAATAATTGAACTTAAAGCAGGGTTCACTAAAAAAAGCAGACTTGGTTTTTTTTCGAAGTGAACGAAAATTCAAATATGCAGCGAAAAACAAATATTCCCGTGTTTACTATATCACCAACTTTTAATGAATAAAAACTGTTCACGACTCACTCTCAAAATATTCGGACGGTAAAAAGTCTTGATCAGATCCTGGAACCCTTGAAGGCTGTTCAGATCCTGCATTTTGTGCTGAAAGTGTGTCATGAGGTACATCAGAGTTCAAAGTCAAGTTTCTGATACTGGAAAGAGTATGTTGTTGAATTCCTCCAGTTCCATCGGGTTTCTTGAACCCTACTGTGTTTTGAACTTGAACATGCATTTTCCTTGGCTGGTTATTACTGCCCTTGGCATTCTCAGAACGAGACTTGATACCTGATGATGTTTCTCTTTAAAAAGAAAAGAGAGAGACGCGTTCCATAATTTAAAAATAATTTAAAGATAATGTAAACCAACTTATTTTTCGGAATATAATTTGAAACATTGCTTTTGCGTTGTTGTGCGCCCCTCGGCATTTTCTTTCTGCTTGTTGCGCTTTCGGTCCCCGATGCAGATGACTTATCTTGAAATCGTGAACAGGAAACCTCTTCATCTACAGCAAGAATCTGAAAATAAATCGTAAAAAATCTTAGGAGATAGCTGAAGAAATTGAAATGGTACAATTGAATCACCATTGTCACATGAGCTGCCGTATATATACCTAAGCCTTATTGAAAATTCTATGTTCGTGTATAACTGAGCGTAGATGAATTTCACGCATGCATGCGAAATACTGTACCAAATTATGCGCAGAAAGTATGCAGTATATTTGTCTAAATCCCCAGGTTTTCAATCAACAGTTTTTGAAAATATATTCCTATCAGGTCTTCTAACGATGCATACTATACATATACTGTATATTAGCGCTTCTCTACACGAAAATTTATCCGTATAATGAAGTTTTGATGCTTTCATCGATCAAAATATATTTCGTGTTATTTTTTTCTTTCAAAAGGGCTCAGTGCTGATGTGTGCTTATTATTCTGAAAAGTCCTCTGTATACCTAGCCGATAATCTGAACACGGTGAAGAAAAAACGAAAACTCTTGTTTCATCATGAGCAAACAATTTCAGCTGAATTTGGGATTTCATGACATCTTTGGATGAAATCAATTTAAAAATATCAGAGCATTAAAATATTGCTAAAAGCTGCAAGAAGACCTATATATACTGTACTTCCCATGGCATATTTTCTCATAATTTACAATGTTCTCTTTTTTTATAGCAATATAGGAAAAATATTGAAAACACAAAAAAGCATCCGTTATAAAAATAATACTTGTGATGTATTTTTGGAAGGTTTGCCAGGAAAAGTAAATAAATATCGTTATACGGCGACGATCTTCAAACAGATTCTTGTTGAAAAGGTCACCTATTGATTTTTTGGCAAGAAAAATTTGACGAGGTGCAGGTAAGAGTAGAAACATATTTTTATTCATTTTTTCGCCTGGGTTACGCCAATTACCATTTACCTTTTTTTTGGGGGGTTACCATTTTTTACGCCTCAAAAGGCCCCGAAATTGTATACGGTACCTCTTCTTCATCTACGGGGTCCCCGTAACCGGCGTAACGAAGCAGGTCCTGGAAAGTGGAATTTCTAGCTGCAACGAAGCCTTCCGAGTAAATTTCCAGTGGAGGAGCAAGCAAGTCGTACAGGGCGTGAAGCGGATTCGATTCGATTCCCGAACACGGCGTCAATCCCATGCTTCATTATTTTCATACACGCAAGAAAAAACACCGGCGACATTTTCAAAGCGCAAACCAGAACGACAATTTGCGCAAATTGGACGATTTACGACCATTACAGGAAATTTGAATTTCAAAAATAACTCTTTGGAAATGTCAACTCGAGTTGAACTGACTCAAATATGCTTGGCGAATACTTATGCAAATTCACAGCAGCTGCACGAATTCAGAATATACGTACAAAATCATTTATGCTGGGAAATAAGACTGTCCAGAATCTTGAAATCCTCTATAATAATTATTCCAACATTTTGAGAATAACGTGGACATTTTGCTAGAGAACCTAAATACCGTAGCTATGAAAGCTATTCGCTGAAATTGAGCTTCACAGGAAAAAAAAAAAACCTTTTTCATGCCTGAATTCGGAAAATAGTGCAGAAAATAGTCGGGGAAACCTCCTCAAAATTGGACGGGGAAAATTGATCAAACTCTCAAGAGATGCTTTATGTGCAATTTTTTCCTCACCTCGCGACATATTCCAGGTACCTTTGAATCTCCAGCCTTAAAGAAAGTGTGTAATTCGAGTCCAGGAAAAAAGTGAGGCCGCGTTCAGCGTTGAAAATTAAATGAGGGATTCCATTTGGGCCGAAAATTGCTTGGCAAACCATTAAAGCTTTCCTTGCGGCTGAGTCCAATAACTTCGCATCGAAAAACTGCGCCGCCCTTCTTCGCTCCTCCATGAATTTATCTTCATCGCTACCTTCTGCGAAAAATTGCAAAAAAAGAAGAAATCCATCGCAATAAATATCTAGAAGCGCAAGAAAAAAAATCTGTCTAGTTTGCGTGCCAATATTGGCCCAATTTGGACCTAGTTCTAGAGTGAGGTTTTTCTTGCTGCGCGCTGAAAAAGTAAAATCTTCACAGACGCCTTTTATGGGCAAGAGTTGCCATTTCTAGGAATCTCGCTTATGCAATCATTAAAGTAAGATAATGACGTCAATATTTTAAACTTTGGCTAATTACATTAGAGTAGTGAACTTCGTGTGGCTGTTCAGAACAAAAAAGTCATTATTAATGTTGAACCAGTTGTTTCTCATCAGTTTTGTATTTAAAAAGTTAGATTTCTCACATCAACATCAATCATGAAAACCTATCTATAATCCTTCATCAAAAGCTTCAAAAAGCTGACTTACACACTGTTCCAACCAATTGTAACACCGAAAATATTCCAAAATTGAACCGAATGCGAAGCATGGAAAGTTTACATTTTCCACACAAAAAAATTAGCTTGATGCCAGTAATAGGACTAATGAATTATCCGACCAATTTCAAAAGCCTATAAGGAATACTGCAATAAATGTAAATTATTAACCTGTACACCTCAGTTGACAATGTAAAGTTGGAAAACCGGAATGCAGAAACACGAGTGAACATTTAAATGAAGAAATTAAAATTCAATTTATATTTGTTCTAGGGAATATTTTGAAAGTTTCCACTGCAGAGCGAAGTTTTTTTTTTAATTTCAGCTCAGCTGTTCAAAATGAATCTTCCAAAAGACTTTTTCAACCCTGAAAAAGAAACGTTTGAATATTTTTTTATGAAAATGGATCGGGAAAATTCATTCAGATTTTGCAGTAGAAAGGTCAAGATAAGATGAAGGCTACATGTTTACTTGAATATTTTATGAATAATGCGTTGCTTTCCGTTCTTCTAAATGAGAAATTAGTCAGAATCTTTCAAAATCACGGCCCTTTATAAAAAAAATAGACTCGAAGAACCCCGAGAAATACCTGGATAATCGTCATCCAAATTTGACAACAGGTTCATGACATCTTCGAGTCCATAGAGCCCGATATCTTTCCGATAATTTCCCGGATTTTGTCGACGATGAGGTGCTGCCATTAAATGTTTTATCCCTTTTTTCGACTCTCGTCCACGACCAGGCAAATGTCGTTTTCGGGTCACTACTGCTGGTGGTGTTCTTTCATCGGCGGTTTTTGCGAGCAAATCATACAAATCAGCAGGTAATCCGTCTGATTGCAGAACTATTTCAGCTGTGTGCTGCAATTCCTCTCTCTCGGCTTTCGTCAGATTCATCGAGTCCAAATCCGATTCCTCAAGTGGAATTTCTAAAACCGTGCTTTTGACTTTTCTCCTTTTACGGTTAAGGGTGTTGTGGGTATTTTCGATTGGGATTTTCTGCCGATGACGATGACTTCGAAGCCTTGAAAATATAAATTGGTTAACGTGTTCGTGAATAAATACTGTACTAAAGTATACAGTTTTCAATCCCCGGCTTTATTAGTGATTTAATTAATCCCAGGCCTTCCAAGAAGTCCCATTGAAACTTGAGTCATCCACAGTTACGCAAAAGATCGAAGTCGTGTCCAAAAAAAGCAAATGTTTGCTGAAAAATACGTTTTCAAATATTAGTCGCATTTGAACTGAAATTGACTTAATACATAAGCTATAAAGAGGAAGAAATATAACAATTTATACTAAATCAAGATCTGAAAACTACGTATCATCACCAATAAAGGGAACACAAGAACATAAAAGCCAATGAACCATAAAATAAACCAAATTCACGTTCCTCGTCGGGAAGGTACTGTATTAAATTTTAGCAATCTTCACCTTAAGAAAAAAGCAGGCAATTTTGACCCGATTATCGAAGAAGTTTGTTCCATTTGTTCAAATTCACGTTTGAACCGATTTGTTTTGAATCTTTGAAAGCACTGCAGAACTTGAAATTGCAACTGAAACTTTTGTCAATTGATTTCAATCCACACCATGGAATAAATAAGTTTTATTTTATTTTAACTTCATGCCAAAATCAAACTTGATCAGAAGCGGACTTATTTTTGCAAATTAATCCCTGCTCATCCTCATAGAAATTTATCGAACCAGTAGAATAACGTTCAAACCATTCATAATGATGTTTTGTATTTTGAATTTTTTCTATTAATTTGAGCTTTTTTATTGATTTTTTTGTGTGTGGAATGATTGGGGATTCAGAAGCTAATTGACAACGCGTAAAGATTTCTAAATATAATATCAATTTCTCACCAGGGTCGGGATGTTGAATTGAAGCACAAATGACGCTTCCTATGCCATTTCCGGTAGTAGGAGGAATTTCGTATCTCGTCGCCACCGTCGCAAACTATGCGAAGAAAAAAAAATAAAAAAAAATTATTATTATCATTAGGTGACCCAGAAATACTTATATTACTTGAAGAGGGAAAAATAAAAGTAGCTCATTGCCTGTTTTCTTGATATTTTGGTCGCTATGGAGACCAGCAGACGCATCTCCATTGTCAGCCAACTCGCCTCTTTTTTCGTCATCGTCGTCGACGCTGTCGACAGTGTCGATAAAGGCGTCATCAGACACCGGCATTTGTCCCTTGTGTCCAATTCGATTTCCGGGTCCTCGATGCAGCTGCTGCTGGGGAACAGAGTTACGGAGGTGGTTCTTTTTGTTGTAGTGATACGAGTCGACGACATCCAATCCTCGACGTTGTCGGTGTCGAACGTGACGACGGTCACTTGCATCAGATACTCGGACTAATAATAAACATATACGGGGTTGGGTGCGAGGTGGAAGAGAATACGAATTACTTGGGTGGGCTACGGGTCATGGGATAATCACGTATCGAGTTGCTCTGAATTCTATAACCTACATTATTAGAGGTATACAGCTTCCGATTACCCCAATGAGTCCCTTCCCATATTACTTCAATAATTTGATTCCAGAAGTACTGAATACTACAAAACTTTACAACAGAGGTCCCTGAAATTTATTGAACACAATTTATCCCAGCGGCGGACTGGCTTCTACATTACAGGGACCCCAGCCACTACTGATGGTGCATATATAGGCATGAATTGATGACTCTCTATACGGAATATCAAAGCGTTTGCTTAAAATATACACTAAGAGAATGAAAGAATCCGAGTAGGAATGGTGAACAATGGAAATACGAAATTATGGAATTACCCAGAGAGTTCTGATTAGTTTTCAGAAGAAGATCTTGTGAAATCGAACGACGCTTTCGTCGATTTTTTGTCTGGCCCTGATGAACTACGCAGAAAGGCGAATGAGCCACGGGTCCAAAATATCCCGACGGACTTTCAGCGATGAAGTAACTTCCGATTTCCTTGGCCGAATCCGCCTCTTTACAAAAAAATAAATCAATATTAAGACAATTTTATAAAATTCCAATGCTTCCACATCACCATTTATGGCGTCAATTTTTGTCAAATAGTCCGAAAAATAGTTGCTTTGCTTCTCAAGTTCCTCCATCAATTGAGTAACGTCGTCTTTCAGTTCTCCATCAGGAAAGTTCTGATGGACATCAAACGAAAAATTAAGATTCTGATTTTAAAAGGGATTAATTACTGCATAAACGATAAATTGGAAATTCACATCGAGCATTCTGAAACTTTGCACGATAGCATCGACGTATCTTTCGTGCAAATTTACAGCATTTTCACGGTCTCCCCCTGATGGTAAAAGGGGTAGCAATTTCTGCACACATGTGCCAAAAGACTGCACTGCAGAGACTTTGTTGGAGCCATTATTCTTGCACTTTTTATTTTCAGCGTCACTTTGATGAAGAGGATCTTCGTTTTGTTTCCGACCGTCATGATTTGACGTTTTGCCTCTTTCCATATTTTTGGAGCTCGGGGTAGTTTTCTTGTTTGCCGAATTGAATAAGTCGTCGGAAAAATTATCCCAGAAATCTTCCGCTGCCGATTTGAAGCATTCGAAAGAAATTGGCCCTGCAATGAAGCATTAAAAACATTATTTTTTCTATTTTGGACAGTTGTCCCGTGATCTTTTTCATGAATTAAATTTTTTATAATCATAGCAGTGTAACTACAAGAACTCGATGAAAGAGTCTAGTAGTGTGAGTACAATGTTGTCTTTTCAGTGACTTTCTGGATGAAATTTATTATTCATTAGACACAAATAAATCAATTCGACGGATTTGTGAAAAAAGCATTATTTTAGTTTCAAAAAGCAAAAATTACGAAATTTATAGAAAAGCAAGTTCGTTGCTCTCATTTCGAAATAATTTGAATGAAAAGTACAGTAGCATGTTTTTTTCTGTAGAAACGGGTTCATAGATATCAAATGCTGACGAGGAATGCAGGCGAGAGATTTGAAACACAAAAGAGGCATTCATATTGTGAATTAAAAAAACCTTTTTCTTTTAGGACAGGCCAATCTCACAGTTTACCCATGACTCCTGAAAATGTTCAATGCCGAAGGCAATACCATGTTTTTTATTCGAACTGCAATTCCTTGAGCATTCCTCTGACGGTATTTCAAAGAAAAAAGCATGGATAGCCTTCTAATATCTTCGATAGGAAACGTTCAGCTGGTGTTAGAGAAAAACTTACTTTAACATAAATGTGAGTAAAGTCACTTGTGGATCAGAAATTGATGGATAAAGTGAAGTTTGAAAAGGTTTGAAATTTGGGAATAAAAAAACAGAATCAGCCTGGGACAAGGCCAGGAATCCCTTCAGGATTTCCTATTTTAAATTGAATGAATGTATTTCAAATTTGTCCCCACAATAAAGTATTTTAAACACAAAGTTTTAACAACACTTCAACAACTCAGCAGAACTCTCTTGAATAGAATTTCAGAATTTTGTACGCCCTTCACAGTTCAAAGTTTGATTGCAAATGTGGCTTCGTTCTCTGGTAAAACTTGGGAATTGCAGAAATTCGTTTCTGGTTTTTCATTGTTCTTTGGAGCTACATGGTTCTCCTTGAGAAGTGGGTTTTCTTCCCTTTGAGGGCTTGTAGTTCGTTATCTGATTTTGTGGTTTTTTTTATAATTTAATTTTACTATTATTCAGCGTGCGCCTGCGGTTCCCCAACAGCCGGGAAGTTTGAACAATAATGGAGAAATTCTTAAAACCTGAAATTTCTGAAGTCTTTCAATTCCGAAATGCTCAGGATAAAATCTGATCTCTCTGATTTATACCAAATTTGACCTCCTTAAAGAGGGAAGTCTGATTTTGCTCATGTGAATTGAATCTAAAATTCTCCGAATTTTTTTTACAAACCATACTTAGCTCATGTAAAAATGCTACTTCTGTGTTGTCTCATTCGCTGTTTATAAAAGCCGCAATAGGACAAAATTCCAATACAATTATCGAAAAAAATGGCAAAATTTGATTTATATCCTCGATGATAGAAATATGCTTTGTTACCCTCTGGAAGAGAAGTGTGCAGAATAGTTTCGCACACAGGCCAAAATTCTTGCAAACTCGCTTCCCTCAGGGCCCTGGTTTTCCGTGCATAGCTTTTATTCCTAGCCGACGACTCAGTATTCATCCGACTGGCATCCTTGAATGAATCACTCGTATCATCATCAACATCATCATCGTCGTAGTACTGAGAACTTCTTAGTCTATTTCCGAGGGATCTCAGCCATGCAAAACCCCGTCTCTGGTCGTCAGTTAACGCAGAAATGCTGCGCAGTGCAGAATGGCAACTGGAAACTCCTTGGCCAATTTTCTCGACTGTATCCAAAAACGACAGGAATTTTGTCTTGATTCTATGAACACGGTCCACAAAGTCTTCGAGCCTTTCTAGCTTGTCATCTAAGCACTCTTCTTTTTCGGGCTTTTGGTTTACCTATAGTGGGAGAAAATTTTCAAAGATTTGTGCATGACCGATTCTTTCATCAAATTCTTAGCCCAGATAAACGAACATTCACATTTAAAATCCAAACCATAGGCATTCAGTTTTTCAATGATGCACCAATTTTCACGAAAAAAACGCATGAAATCGAATGGTTTAAAAGTTTTAATCATAGAGTCATTATGCTCAAGAAAAAGCTTCAAAGCGTCTGGATTTTTCATAAGAAGTTTCGTGTAGTTTCAGTATCTGCTTAAGCATGTCAAACCCCGGCCCTCTTATTCTTACAATTGACCTCTTTTCGAGAGATCAGGTTTAAAAAAAATGTAAAAATATTTCCCAGATCTTATATAGTGTTTAGTTTTCCAATATTCTTTCATCAATTTTGAGCCAGTTTCGTCAACAGTACAATACCTCATACGCTAAGCATGAATACATGAAAAAATGAATACAATTTATTGAATAACCCAACAATAAGATGTCTAAAAAATTAAATTTTCGGCCAAAACTGAAAATCAGACTCGATCGTAGGACTTTCGTTGAATTTTAAAAATCTTGAAGCGATTGAAACATTTTCAGATTTATTGCACCCCTAGTCATTTTTTTTTTAAATTTGCGTGCAGTAAATCAGTACTTTGTTCCCTCCAGCTTTTTGTCGAGCTGGTGGCTGCTCCAATGTTGGCTGATCGTCAAGCAGCGACATTTGAATAGTGTTCCAGCAGGAAATGGTTCTTTCGGCGAATCTGGCATCTGTCATTGGCAGAGACTCTCGATTGCAAATTGCGGGAAATTCTATTTTGGCCGTTTGAAAGCGTTTCCAATTGTTGTCCGTTTCTTTATATTCCTGATCATCCCCGCCTGGGACAGCAGGAAGAACAACTTCCGGTACGCCTGCAAAAATCCGTTCACGTTTCGCGATATCCGAAAAAAAAATATTGTACCTGAGTTATTACTGATATTTTGTATGCTACTTGTCTGGTTCTCAGAACCAGAAACCAGGCCCAAAGGACTAGTATATAAGGATACTGTGTATTGTCTTTGATTCTTGCAAAATCAGCCAATCAGAGGCTAATATTTAGGCTTAAAGGAAAACAACTTTCCTTGTTTCTTCTCTCTCTCTCTCCTTCTTTCTCCAACTCAGCAGATTTTCTCTTTCCACTGCCACTTCTCAAACTGATAAGACCTTAAAACCTAACATTGCTTATTCGTGAAAAAATTTGTGAGATAACCCTGTGCGTGATTATTCTTGTGTGTGTCAAGATTCACTGACTTGCTAAATTCTGTGTTGAAAAATTAATAAACTAAAACATTTTTGGAACCGGTTTGAAGTGTTTCCCAGCCGATCCCAAGCTGATTTTTTGTTCAATCCATTATTTGTATCCTCTTTTCTTTGTTGAGACACTCAGTTTCTTTAAAATTATGTCTGAATACTTAAAGGAAAAAAATTAAGGTGAACCTGGTAAGTCTCCCTGCTCCGTTCCGGCAGCGGAGGCGGAATTCATTGACGCTTTGGAAGCCCAAAACCGCGGAAAAGCAGGCATGGAAAATCTGCTGAAATCAATGCCAAACGAATTCAGCTGCTCAGGAAGTGCATCAGTTCCCGCACTCCACGCAATCACCATTACTACTGATACCGATTCACGGAAGGTTATTTTCATCTCACTCACGAAATCTAGCCAGGATATACAGTCACTGACGGAAGCCAAAAAAAAAAAAAATATGTTCAAGAGGAGAGAAAAAAACAGGGTGGGTCGAACGTGATTGAAAATTCGTTTAACGCCAGGAAAGAAGAGTTGATCGAGTTTTTCCAGAGTTTCATCCTCATTCATTATTGCTGTACTGATTTCCTCTGTTTTATATATTCCATTGCTGTTGGCCACGGAGATAAAACTTTTGAAGCTCTTTCCTGTCACAATCACATCAGCAACAGATTTTCGTTTCCTGGTTATTCCAACGCGTTTGAATGAATCCTGCACAATTTGCCAACTTTCAGCAGAAACGAGTTCCTCCCACGCATCATTATTTTTATTTTTCTATTTTTTGCAATTTGAAGTCCCCAACTTTGTTAATTTCCTCGGGTCGAATGAACCGCAGGATGCAATGAAAACTGGTTCCGAAACTTCAATCAGCATAAAAACCCGAGGGTGTGATGGGATCTCTAGGCATTTGGCTTCTTGGCATTGTGAGGAACGCAAGTCAAGATCATTATGGCAATAGTAGCGATGAGCCAAATCATCATCCTGTTCATTTTCCTTTGCGTGCTTGATTCTTCTCTTGCTGACTGTTTGGGTGAGTTTTTTTTTTTTTTTCAAACGAGACAGACGCATTGAAGAAGTAATGCATGGAAAGTTCATCGTACAAAATAAATGAAAAAATTGAAAAATATGGAACACAAGCTAACTGCAAATATCCCGCAGTTACTGATGGAATTTTTTTTTAGCACCATCAAGCGAGTGGAGGCGGAGCTTGTGCAAATACTTTTAAATATAAACAAGAAATTGATTTTAAATTTCTGCGTTGAGAAGTCCGATCATTTTACCGATTTAGCATGCTGTTAGCTCGTAATAGAAGAATTTCTTTCGAAAATTGAGTATATATTTTCTTTAATTCCCTACGCGTCCTCCCCAATAATCGTGACCAAAAAAAAGTACGTGAGTCAATTTGAATCCGTGTAGCGTTGTTGTAGCGAAACTTTTGAATATTTCCTGATGACACACAGTCAGATTTGACAGAAAAAACCCGACCAAGAAACATGTATGAATTTTTCAAGAAAGCGCAAATAAATTCGAACTTGTTTCATCAACTTCTGGAGTGATTTCCAGGCCACTTCAGCTACTTTTTTTTTTATTGCAATTCTGCAGGGATTCAAAGCTCAAACGATGTGCGGCTGTAATACAATGATTTATTTCCGCATTCTGAAAAAAAATTTCGTGCAATTTTTTTTTTCGTACAGAAATTGATGAAAACCCGGAGAATTTCCATCGTCGAGGAATGCAGCGAATTTCCGCAATGTTTCCGAGTAAGTCCCAACGGTTTTCTGCATCCCTCGGAATTTTACCCAGGAGAACCAGACTCGGGATTCGCAGACGACTCATGATATTGACACCTGACCTGGAGCCGATTCCGTCATCATCTGCAGATTTCATCATTGAAGCAGAACAGCTTAAGTCGTTGTTCGGCTTAAAGTGTAGTCTTCTGCAAAACTCCGTTCACGGCAGAATACACCTGCCATTTGCAGGCAAAACCGAAAGCGGAGCTGACTTCTTTGTACCCAGTTGCGTACTACGACTCGAAAAAGCGGAAGTCGACTCACATTCCGACGAAAATATTTGAATAGGAAAAAAATACACTAAAAAAGCAGGATTTTGCTGAAGAAAATTTACCAGAAGAAGTGGCTCGAAAATAGTTTTTGAGGTGCTGATTTTTATGTGAAAATCAGCCAATCATTTGTGAGGTAAATGATTTCAATTGATGCTTGACTTGAGCCAAATGCAGTCTTGAACCTGTTGAGGTCATCTAGACCTGTTGGTTTAATTCATTTCGTGTACACAAAAATGTTTGCATTAATTGCTGGTGCCTCATGCAATGAATTCTTCATACGGTTGTTTTTTTTTTCATCAAGCAGAAGAAAAATTCACATTCCCCCACAAAAAATGACGCAATAGATTTTATCCCATGTGAAAAAAATTGGGATATTTCAGGGAAAAAAATGAAAACCGAGAAATTCTCCGAAAGAATAATCTAGAGCAGATATTGGGCAAGCAAATAAATTCGAATTTCAGTAATTTGATGATGTTGTATAGTGGTAAAATCCTGACATGATATATCGTAATTTTTCCTTTCATTTTTTGCGGGTTTCATTTTGCTCGTTTGAAGACTCTGTGAGCGGAAAATTTCCAAAATGAAGAATTTGTTCACACTGAAAAGAAATTTCAGTGTCACTTTCGATTTCACTTCCAATTAAAGTACCATTATTTCTTGACCCTTTGCTTGAATACAAATGCGTTAATGTCCTCCCCAGCATGCATTGTTTACAAATGCACTGAGAAATGTGTCCCATGCAAAGAACCTTATACCCAAAAGGAAAGAATAATATAAGGTTTTCGTACGTATAAACTGTATGACGATCCATTCTCCACACAAGTTTAAAAAATCATGCTAAAATGTGTTAAAATCTGTTGAAATCTGAATTAAAAAGCTTTGCAGAAACTCCTTCGACATTGTCAACAAACTATAGAAAAAATACCGTAGAAAGTTTGGAACCCTTTCTCCCTACTTCACAGCTTCAAAGGATTTTTCAGAAGTTTTTTCAGCAAAAAAGAGCGAAAGAAAATATACAGTATTTGAGATTTAAAAAACGCGCTGAATATTTAAATCTTTCACTATCTCTTTTTGAGACCTATTTATATTCACATTGCATTAAAATAAAAGTCATCGGATTCCAAGTTTTCCTCGCATCGATTTTATTCCGCCAACCCTCAGTGTACTGCATAAATGTTTAAAATGAGTTGCGTATTTTTAGAAATTCTACAGCAGTCACCTTCCCGCTGATGCGTCCTGCAACGTATGATTCTTTTTCGAAAAAATAGGTTCAATTTTGACAAAAATTACTACTCGACGAATTATTCAATAGGAATGTCCTTCGAATGACTCAATACGTAAGATTTATAGGTTATACGTCGTCACTTCAAAGCTATGCTTCCTCAACAACTTGACCCTTTCTTCTTCACAATTCCACCTTTTCCGAGCATATATATATGGTAAAGTTTGCTGACACTGTTGAGAATTCTTTCCGGTCAACTATTCTTTAGTCTAGGGTCATAAAGCAGAGGAAAATTCATATTCATTGCTTTTATAACGCGGTTTCTTTGTAGAGGAGGTTCAGCACACGGAGACCAGCATGCAGGTTGATGCATATGCTGCAAAAGGTTTCCAATATTCCCATGGCTATATGATTCAATAAGAAAGCATGTTCGAGATGCTCATCCAATATTCTGCACGTGACAATTTAATTCCAAAAATAAGCCCTTGCGTATAGGTTTTGTTCCGAAACCCGGAAGATTATCGCGTCAATAAACCCCGAACGTATGGTTTCAGTTGATGAAGATGCTCATCCAATATTCTGCACGTGACAATTTAATTCCAAAAATAAGCCCTTGCGTATAGGTTTTGTTCCGAAACCCGGAAGATTATCGCGAGTTATTTGGGGCTTGCATACCAAAGTCAACTACCTCTTTTTAACATAATGTAGAGTTATGGTGCGAGGCTACTTTTTACGTGAAGATGTATATACACGCGTTTTGTATAAAGCCGACTGTAAATAAACCATTATGCATGACAAACATTGTTCCCGGAAGCGGGAAATTTCGGTTGATCCACGCGTGATTTTTCTCAATACCCACGAAAGTAATGAAGAAAAAAAAACACGCGGTGTTCCGTGTTGCGTATTTTCAATTATGTGCGTTCATCTTTTCGGCAATAATAAACTTCGGAAACACTTCGTTTTTTTTTCTGGAATAATAGACACATTTTTTTCTATTTTCTAATATAATAAGGAAAAGGAGTTCGGGTCAAGTATTGAATTTGTGAATAAAATCCAAGCTTATTCCGTGATAGTTCAAACCTGAAAATTATTGGATTATTATCTGCCAAGAGCATTTTTAATCACTGCAGATAAATAAATGAAGAGTAAATTGGGATCTAATTCGCTCATCTGCAAACGCATAGGATTATTTTCGCACAAATTCCTCAATAATTCATCTTCATTCTACAGTATTTCTACGACCGAGAGCAAAGCTGACTGCATGATGTCAATTATTTTAATATTCTCTACAAGAAACAGGAAATAATTTCGTCATTTGTACTTTGCAAATTATCAAAATTTCCATTTTAAACGTTAAAGTGTGAACAAGCATCTGAATGGCGAACATTTTCTCGGATTTTCTTATGAAGTATTTTAAAAGTGAAAAGAAAGGTGATCCTCAGAATTAATGACGTTGTATTTTTTTGCCTAAAAAAGCATATCAATTATTTGGCACGTAATTGAACAATAATTGACGGATGTATAGCCAGGGAGAGGGGGGTGGGGTGGGTGGCACGTCGACGTCAGCTCCACTATTTCCTCGACGGTGTCGAGTCGACGTCGGCGCCTGCGGTTTTCTCCGCCCACTGCATTCAATATAGCGGAAAGAATAGATTAGAAAAAAGTGTGGCGCCTGCGAGGATATAACATGGAACTTTTGCAAGTCGCTTGTCAGATCTTCCAGGTGTTTCTTGTCGAAAGCATGTTTATAGAAAGAAATACGTGGCTCTTTTTCCTTGTTCAGTTTTTTCCTTTTCCTTTTTGTCCACGAAAGTCTTTAAATCGTCGAGGCTTTGATGAGAAAAATGCTTGGCAATTCAGAGGAACTTCAGTCCCCTCATTTCTTAATGCAAATTTTTGTATATTCATAAATTAAGTTCATAAAGTCTTTTCGGCGTTGCAAATAACCGTGCGAATCCCTGTGATCGTGTGGAGGGCAAATCGAATCGAATTGTGAAATAGAAATAAATTTTTCGTTTCGAGAGGATGTGAATCCTCGTTCTTAAAAATATTTGCTGCACTTTCCGAGAAATTTCCCAAATGTATTACTCAATTTACTCGTCGATTCTTCTATCGCGTCATTTTTTTCTTTATCCCACTTCGAGGAAGAAAATTATATTGATTCATGAACATTCGATAAAATCCCTGTAAAATATTGAATAAGTATTTCAATCTTTCTCGAGCGTGCCCAGGTTCTCATCAAGATATTAAAAAAAAGCAACAACATTAAAAAAATATAATTTTGAACCAATTTATGCCAAAAAATATTCTCACGTACGAATT